ATGTTCAGTGTTGATTTGCTGCTGAATAAACGGTCTGAACGGCCAACAATAGTGCAGTTTTCTGACCACTTTTGGCTGAAAACTTCTGCTGGCTGAAATTTTGATGCATAGAACGATACGTTCAAAATATCGGGACTTAATTTTAAATTATCATGACATTCGATCATATCAATTATTGGGCCAAGGATAATGAGCAGCATTAATTTAAAATAAAATGAAGCCATTATACATGATATCACTGGAAAAAAGCAAAAAGTAATTTAATTTAGTGTACATTAATGCAACAAATAATTTTGGACCACTTCTATCGTCCGTACCTCATGAAACATATGGCAATATAAATGGCAGCTGCTGTTTTCATGTGACATGACAGCAACACTGTAGAAGACACACGTTTTGTCACTCTTGAACTAGTAAGAGGATGTGGGGTTCTATGCTTTGCTGTAGCTTCTGGTTTGAATATTTTCTGATATCAGGTGCAGAGATGTGGTTTTGAGGGTTCTGAGGCTGGACTCACCTTTCCGCTAAATTTATCAGATTCTTGAGAACGCAGAAGCTGGACGACTTCCAAAAATCAGAATGGATCAAAGTGCTGCAGTTGGCTGTAAAGTAGACTGAACAAATCAGGCATTTTAGCCTGCAGATCTAAGCCAGTCACAAAAAAATATATAATACGGATTATTACACAGCATTAGTTTTTTCTTATGAGAAAATTTTGCATAACATCGCACAATATTGCATAATGTACTGTAATTTGAATATTGTTTTAATTCAGTCCTCATGACTGTTGGGTTCTGGGGTTATTGCCGAACACAAAGTATGTGCTGTTAAAAGTGAGAGCAAAGAGATCATATGGTGGCTCAGCTGTGCTTCGGAGTATTCCTGCTGAAATCAGTGATGGATTACAGCTTCGGTCTGTGGTTTGGAGGGCTCATATTCTGCTGATCTAAGCAACACTTTTCCTTTGCCACACACTTCTAATGGCACTGTTGCATTAAGCACATGGAAGTCATGGCTGTGCAGTCTTTACAGTTTAAAAGTCGTGCTAATTCCTAGCAATTGAAATTAGATTCGGTGTCATGCGTTTTATAGTGTATACTGGAGGTTTTGTAATTAAAGTGTAATAATGGTAGCAACAGGGAGTCAGCCTCTGTGGTTGAATATTCAAGGTGATCTTCACCAAGCCCTTTCAGAAGTTAAAATATATCGAAGAAATCATTAATTTTTTTAGCTTTTTAATTTTACAGTGTGGACTATTATGAAATTAGGCCTCATCAGTGTAAAAAGACTACAAGCAACCTTCTTCGTTTTCTTCTTATACTACTGCTGCTACTACGACTACTCCTATTATTATACTATTACTACTACTGCTACTACTACTAGTAGTACTGCTGCTCAGTGGGCGGTACACAGGTTCATCTGGCATGCTGGTTGAAATTCTTGTGACATATAAGCAGTGCAAACCCTCAGCCTTGTAAAAACTGAGACGTGAAACATCATTTAGCGCCGGAATATATATATTTTTTTTCCAGGCTCATGGGGCTAGTGTTATAAAGCAGTATTGACATAGACTTACCTGTTGTTCTGTTCTGTTTTAACAATTTTGCACAATAAAAAATATTTAACATTTTAATTTGGTTGTTAAAAATGGATATTTAAGAAAAGGGAATTATTGTTAACCTACAGTTAAACAGTTTTATTTCAGTTTTATTTGATGTAAAATTACATCAAAATTTACACCAAAACCAGCAGAGATTTTAATAAAAGATGAAATTAATTTTCGGCCAAAGCGCCCAGTACTACTAACTACTACTACTTCTAATAATAATATGTTGTAGTTGTTTTAATGCTGGGAACTTTCCAGAAGGCAACGTTTTGCGTACTGAAGTGACATATTCAGAGCTATTGTCTGCTTCGGCGGTAATAAATTGCATCTCAGTTATCATTTGCAGAATTGTCGCAATAAACAGTATCATCGTAATCCAACCTCACTGACGTAGAACCACATGTGAACACCAGACTTTACTAGTATAGATGTCACTGAAGCACATTGTTGGCCCTGATTCAGCCTTGTTTTGACAGTTTTCCAAAAGTATACCACCTTTTTTCTGAGGAGAAACATCTGGTGTCCACCACGAAATGGAACGATGCCATACGCTGCAATGTTTTGGTTGACTTGCAATCATATTTTGACTCTGAAGAGCTCCAAGAGGATACTGCACTCAGTGTCCTTATTGAGCTGTACATCTGTTTCAGATTCTTTGTTTTATGTGTATATTCGCCAGCATTCATTGCCAGACTGAAAATGTGCATTATAATCTTTCTGGCCAGCATTCAGAGCAGTTAATTAGTTGGTGATGTTCTGTTTGTAGTATAATTAAGTTCAATCTGTTCTATTATGTACATTTTTGAAGTAACCATAGATTAGAATGATTGGTTAAATAAAGGCATCTGAAAGTGAGCAAAATAATGCATAATATGTGCATAAGATCAGGGACTCATCTAAATTATCATGATATTTAATAAAATATCAAGTATTGGCTATTAATTTGAAGAAGAAAATGAAGCCACCATAGACAATATTACTCTGAATGTGAATGCTGGTTGATTGGACTGGAGAATTGTTACATAATACCTGTACAACTCCACAATACTTCACGAGTGAGAGAGTCTAGCTGATGACCGCAGCACTGCACTGAATCATGGGCTGCTGCCCACTTGGCCTGGTGAGGCGTTCAGTACCCAGCACCAGTCGGCACACACAGGTTGTTGACTAATTTTGGCAGAGCAACATTGCGTAGAGAAAAGTCCCATAAGGCATAAATCTGGTGTAGTATTCGATAAACAAATATGTTTGGGAAGTAAATAAGTAAATGAATGCAGATGTGATGCCCTAAGTAAAAAACAAACTCTTTGTATTACTTTAACCCTATTTATTTGCCATTTATATGCCTCTAGTCTGTTGTTTGTAATCAGGAACATCAGCGTCCTGTTTGCCTAACTCACAGTGTTGAGGGCGGAGCTGCCTCAGAACGACTCCTCTGCACCACTATCAAAATCACAAGGAACGGACGTCATTGTTTCCACTGTTTAACTCAGTGGTGTTTACCCATGTACAACATGTTCTGTCACCCATGGCACAATCATCTTTTTATTGATTTGGAAAGCCATCCACCATGTAATGTGCACAGCAGTGACAGTGAGTTTACAGTGAGAATGCTTGTAAACCTGGCCTCCTGTTTGTTTGAAGCTAATGATTTTGGCCGCTGTCACTCAACGCCAGTCTTGTTCTGGGACTCAGTTCAGGCTCTGAGTCTTCTGTTCTGATCACAGCAATGTTTTAGTCTCTGGTCTTTGTGCTGATTGGAATGAGGTGCCCTTGTTGGAAGACTTCTATTCAGAACTGTCCTGTGTTCACTATGCTTATATGCTTCAGGCCTAAAGAAGCTTTGGTTGATTATTAAACCCTCTGTAGGAGAGGTCTTTAAATCCGGGCTACTTTCTGGTGCTGGATTTTATAAACTGGATTTAAGGTGTGGATTTGATGTGTCTGTCTGTCTGTCTGTCTGTCTGTGTGTCTGTCTGTCTGTCTGTCTGTCTCTTATTTATTTATTCGTTTATTTATGGGCTGTCACATCACAGTTGCTTGACTAAAGTAAGTATAAAAAAGGTTGTCATTAAAATGTACCTACTCAGTGAATCAGCAATAATGAATATTTGACCATTTGTGGTCCACAAACACTTTTTTTTGGCCACATGGTGTTTTTATATTCTTCTAAATGAACTGTTTTTCATATCTTCCTAATTTATCTTTTTCCAACACAGTCTTTTGAAATTTCTAAAATGCCGGATTTGGAATTGTGTGGTTAAGTCTATTTTTATTTGTTTTAGCCTTTTCAAAAACTCTTATTACTGAATTAATCATCAAAATAGAAGTGAGCAGTACGACAATATTTTATGATTATTGTGATAAATTATATGTAATATCGTGATTTTGATATTTTGGACATTGTCAGTATTTACCACTCACCAACTGGCCAACTATTTTACGGTCATCTGGGGGCAGATATGAAATGCCATTTAAGGACAATCCAAACTTCATGTTTTGACAGTTAGTATTCTGTAACAGAACCTTCAGTAGACCACTATAAATTCAATGGTGCCGATACTTTAGAATGAACATAACCTTTAAACTGCTGAGTTGAATAAATGTGCCTTCCGTGCTTCTAATGCAACAGTATTGTCAGCAAAAATGTCTACACTTTGTTTTATCCAGTTTTTGAAAGTGAAACCCAGCTTTCTTCAGTTTGCTCAGATGAACAGGGGAAGGATTGCCTTGAACTTTTTAAATTGTCTTTACTTAATATAGTTGTGGAACTCAAAGTAGCCCGAAAAGTACACTACAGAACTAAATCGAGCAAAGAGAAGCCAAATCTGTCAAAGCAAACATTATCCACGAGCTGTTTTAATGAACTGGGTGACCAGTGCTTTGGGGTAAAGTTTCTAAGAATCTTGAGAATCTTTTTCGGAACAGTTTTGAAACCATTTTTCTAAAGAGTTATATGTATTCATGTGTTTTCAATTAGGGAAGATCTTGGGGATCGTGTTTGTAATCTTCAGGGCTAGTGGGGCCGTGCTGTTGACTATGTTGACACTGCAATTGCGGGCCGCTTCGCTTCCCTCGTCAAATACGCGACGCAATGGTGTTTATACTCCGTGCTGTTTTTACAGAGAAAGGACAGGATAAGTACACACATCTGGTACGGATGTCTTGTTTGCGTTGTCACATGGACCTCCTGCCTGTAATTATCATGCCTGTTGCCGTTCTGACTGCCAGGCAGGTAGAGCTTTGGACTGACAGTGCTCCATTACCTCGGTGTAACTCAGTAAAGCACAATCTCAGACCTAATAAGGAACCTTGGTGGTCAATCACAAACAGTTACCTGAAATTGCTTGTCTCTTTGCTGGTCTATCATTACGTCTCTGTTTGTTCTTCACAGATGCCTGGTTTAGTGTCATGCCCTGGTGGTCTAATAGTCATTGGGATCCTTACTCTGTCCTTCGTTCACATCAACTCAGAGATATGGAGCAATGAAGGTAAGCACAATTAGACAGTTAGGGCTTCAATTACACAGAAGGATCTTACAACTAGACATATACTGGGTATATACAGATTGGTTGCAAATTAAAGGAAAAACTTAAATATGTGCAGATGCTGCCAGGCAGGTGTATTGCATGATGTAATTAAGCAGTTAGCGCGCCCTGTGGCATGTACAAAAATGCTGAGCCTAGTTTACCTCGATTTTGGAAAAGGCAAGATGGCAAGAGAAAAAGATCTAAATCACTTTAAACAAGGGTTCATTATTGTGGTATGAATGGCAGAAGCTTCAGTCACAAATACTGCTCAGCTGTCTAGTGTATAGGAGCAGTAATTTAAGTGACATCTACATTTAGATCTATGGAGAAAATACATCAGTAAATAGGATTGGAAATAGTGAGTGCAAGCGCATGTTCGCTGACCATGATGCTCGTGCATTGTTGCGATATGTAAGGAAAACAAAAGAGCAGCTGTTTGTTAGATGACTGAGAATGTCAATGAAGGATGTAGAGAAGAATATTTTAGCAGTAAATACACATTTAAGTACACATTTGTAAAAAAAAAAAAGAAATGGTCAGATAAGTCCTCATTCTCATCTTCACCACATTCACCATAAGTGGTTGAGTGCATGTACAACGTACACCAAGAAAACTGTACATGAATGCTTGACCCCTACAGGGAAGGGGTCTGGTGGATCTATTATGCCGTGGGAGTATTTATGCTTTGGTTTTTCCATCAATTTGTCACTCATCTGTATGTTACTTAATGTTACATGATACGGACAGAATACAGTATTGTGCTTATATTGTGATTTATAATGTGCAGTATGTTAAACTGCATTAGTGAGTCAATTGAGCTGCCACAAATATTCAATAATATTTGATAAATTTGATAAATAAAATATTTGAAAACAGAAAATCCATTTAAAACTGACGTGTCCTACTTAAATTAACCCACACGCGTCCATGGTGAAATAAATTGTTAAATCATGGTTAAAAAGATCTTACCTCTGCTCTACTGCACTACTGTCCAAACAGAGCAAGCAGCCTGATCAGGGTTGCCAGATTGGGCATGATTCCTGGTTTAGCATTTTATTGCAACTTTCTCTGACAGGTATTTTTATTAGCTTGTACTATTAAGTTTTATTATTAAAAGTGAAAGTAAAAGTGAATAAATGGAATCAATCAATCAATCAACCTTTATTTAATCTCGGAGAACATTGAGGGTGACCCTCATTTACAATGCTGCCGAGTTAGTACAGAGCAGGGGGTTGATAAAGAACATATCAAACTGTAAAAGTAAATTTAATAAATAAAAAAGACTCAAAGCAGGTAAGTATAAAAAAGTGAAACATTAATAATAAAAATACATAAAATATAATAAAAAAACATAAAGCAATAAAACATAGCTCAAATGTAAAGGTTAATAAAATCAAATCATAAAAATATGAGGAGAATAATATCAAAAAGTAAACAAAGAATTTATTAAAATGACAAATACTAATAAAATAATCATAATTAAAATAAGAATAAGAATGAATAAACTAACAAATAAATAATAAAATAATGAAAATAAGATAATCGAAAAAATAGGTAAAACAGGTAGAATGTATGCAATAGTGCAAAATAATAATGTTCATGATAATTAGTGTTTACACTGCTTAATAGATGAAGAAGAAGAAGAAGAATAAAAGCAACAATACAAATAAAGTTTTTTTCATGCAGTTTTCAAAGTGAAAAATCTCTTGAGCTATTCTCATAAAATATTCTATATATTTGTGATAACATTTACTAGAATATTTGACAATGAAAATATAGCAGCGCTATAATCAGTATGGTTAAAGATTGGCCTGCCTTGACCAAAATAATTGACGTTTGTGAGATTACAGGAAAACACCCAGAGAAACACTCTGCAACTGGTCAGGGGTAAAAAGACGTTGTGACTGCTTAGAGCGCTCATTTGGATGAAGCATATTTCTACGAAACCCAACGTTAACGATTAATGAACGATATATTGTGCAGGCCTAGAAATGGTGTAGGAATGCCCCAAGGTCCCAGATGAATGAGAAATGTTGTTTGCTGTTATTTGACTTTGCTTGCCTCAAACCAGCACCTGGAACTCCTCAGAATAACTCTCTGTAGCGAGTCCTGCCATAGCCAGAGCACAGCTGAGTTAGCCTGCCAGCTTTTTATCGTACTCAACTAACTGATAAAAGCCAAGAGAAGCAGACTTCAAATTTACTGCCTTAAAAATTCAGCTGAAACACGAACCAGGCATCCAGTTATGTTCTCATTTTGCAGAAACAATAAACATCTGTATTGAGAATCCAAGCCTAGCACAATCCCCCATGCGTTGTTTGCAACTCATACAATTAATTCAAGCTGTGTGTGTGTGTGTATGTCTGTGTAAATGGCGGTAATTCTGCTGGCATGAGTTAGAGAAATGTGAGAAATGTGGTAGGGTTTTAAATAATATACCCGTGCCAATATTCCCTGAAAGCAGACATTGAGCGCGGCCATGCTTGCAGTACAGTTAGACCCTGGGTGCTGGAGGCCAGCCACTCCCCGGAGTATACGAGAGTGTGAGCGTTTGTGTGGCTGTGCATGTGTGTACGTGAGAGAGGGCCGTCTGTGTATTTGCCTGTCTTTGTCCAGCACTTGGCAGTAAATGCCTGTTATTCCACCCCTGATATAAATACTGTGGTCTAAAGGGGCAGTAAAGGACAGGAACATAAACACTCCCAATCTGCTTCTGCTCCAGCACACAGTCAGACTTTGGCTTGCTGTATGATCCAAGACTTGGTTCGCTCATTTAGGGCAATGAGGTGCCATTTCAAATGGCACAGAAGGGAATGCTTTTGCCATTATCTGATGCATGTCGGCAGTAAAATCCGAGCAAGAATATTACTTTCTCTATTCACCGAATGCTGTTCATCAGCAGACTGCTAGGCCAAATAAGAAAGTGTTCTTTTCTGTTAATGGCTTCAGAAGTTCAGTGAAAAATCAAAATTACAGATGTCTAACATTTACGCTAAATGTTTTCGATCAGCCAAGACCCTTTTACTGTCCAAAGTTTCTTTTTTTAGCTTTGCACTGGAGCTACGAGGGTAACTTTGCTACCAATTAATGGACGTTTAAACCCCACCAGTTGGCATTGTGCAAACTACGTGCCTAAATCATCACACACTTCCGTGAAACCACACTGAAGTGTTATGTAATCTCAATTAGGCTTGCTTATGTGATTCCGAACGCTGTATGACGCGCAGTTATAGAAATAAACAAATGTGTGGTCAGATTTCAGGTAGCTACTACTGTTCTTTGCTATGTGACATACTTTTATCCATTTCTACAGATAACTGTATTTCTTGCAATCTCAAAAACCACATTAGCAAGTCTGAACATATCAACATGATGATTCAGGCCTGCAGTTTACACAGTGCTAATTGGTGGGGTTAAAGTGACCTATTGTGTGTAAGCTACATTAGCCTTGTAGCTCCACTGCAAAACTAAAGAAGCAAACTTCAGACACCAAACATGTCTTGGCTGGTCTACTTTTATTTGAGGAAGGGGGAAAATGTGTATGTTTTGATTTTTCCCCCAAGCTGTTCTGTTAACTGAAGTACTCTGTTGCAACAGTAGAGGCAGATGCCTTGCAGTTTTATAATGGGGAAATTCCACAACTGGGCTGCCATTTGTCTCCCATTGATATTGCATTTGCAAATATGTGTAAGTGTAGGTAAAATACATTTTAAACAAAGGATTTTTCATGAAAACTTGCACATGTTTCTGATAAATAACTTAAAACATTAATAAAAACAGCAGAAACATCTTCAGCACTTATCTACTTTAATAAAAATCCTAAGTTTTTGCCTGTCCCACCTCACTATAACTAGCAGTTCATTGTCTAACTGAAAATAAGTACACATGCTCTTCAAAGAACACACTTCTGCAAATTGTAATGCATATTTAATGCATTACTGTTTGTTTTGCTGCGTTTAACAGATTGGAAAAATAAAAAAAAGAAAAACATAAAATGTGACCTTTGCAAAAACTAATGCACTTCTTATAATGGTGAATCTTTATTTTGAGTGGTCCTTTTATATGAAACAAACACTTAACAGACTCAGTAACATATCAAAAACATATGAGGGTTAAGATTAGGTTTTGAGTTGAGGTTAAGGCTGGGGGTTAGGATAAGGGTTAGGATTAGGGTCAGGTTTAGGGTTAGGTTTTGTGTGATGGAAGTAACAGGTTAACTATACATCTACTTAATGTAAGGAATGTATCAACAGAACATCTACAAGATATTTACTTTAATGTATTCAGATGCTGCACTATGATATGTTACTGCTACTCTGTAAAGAGTTTATTAACTATCTACAAAGGACCATTCCAAATAAAGTGTTACTCTTATATTTTGTATGTGTTTTATTCCTTTCCAGTATGTAAAACTCAGTGAATAAATAGAAATTGTGCACTAAAATTTGCAGAAAAAATGCCATTTTTTACGTTTCCCTGTAGAGGATGTGTTAATTAGTTTTCACTTCAGAAAACTGACCAAACAGGGGGGTGGACAGACCTGTACACTTTATCTTGAAATGTAATAATTTAAATGCTTCAAAAATTGTATTATTTTTGCATTGTGTGAATCTATTTAACTATCTATCTTAGGCATTATTTTTTTTCCATGAATCATGCATTGTAGCTTATGAAAAATGTCCCTCAACATTCAAGCAGGCCTGATACCTGAACATATTCACCTCTGAAATATTTAGATTTTCCACAAGTCACCAGTTCACAAGGAAGTTGCAAAGTCCGAATTTCCTGAAGATCATGGGAAAAAGAAAGTTTTCCTTTTCTTTTCTTTTCAAAATCATTGTGATATTCACTAACAAGGTCACTTTGTAAATACAACCCTGTTGCTCAAATTATAGACTGAAAGCAAGTTTTAAAGAAAGGTAAAACATTTAAGTAAATCATTAGAATGTACTTAATACCCTTATGACACTTGAATGAAGTCACTCGTCTGACCAGGGTGCTTCTTAGAGTAAAAAAACCTCTAAAGTCATATTTATTTCAGCGCTGTTTGCTAATAGTGTTGACTTAAGCATTTACATCCCTTATAAAGCCTTCCTAAAGCTGTGCTAATCTGCCAGTAAAGCTGGACTCCTAGTATTTTACAGCACGTCTTGTCTGTCTTGTCTAGTTTCAGACATCCAGTTCGGCAGCCTGGGCTCTAACGTCACGCTGATTTGTGGAGGCGTTCAACACGGGTATGTCCACCCAGTCTGTATCGCACACTGCTGTTCCTACGTGACAGAAGAGCTAAGCAGACCCAAGCCTTCCAGTAAACATTGATAACGGCGTGCTTCACACCCTTCTGCGGAGGCACAGGCCAAGTTGCTATAGCTGAGTCACACTGGGTCTATTCACCATTATATGGGGCATTGACTCCCCAGACTCTAAAGCTGGCAACTCAGAATACCATATGGAAAACCACCTGTTGGACCAAATTGATAGTCTTGGCCAATAAATGTAAAAGCCAAGGGAATACCCTTTGCCAAAGATATGATTGATATCACAAACAGGTCATTTATAGGTGGTGAAAAGTGGTGTTTTGCTTCAGATGCTGCTAATTTCCCTGTTACAGGCCAGACTTAGTTAAATCATTGAGTGTGATTGATAGAGGTTGTGACTGTGAGTTTTGGATGGGCCAGCAGGTCTCCGGTGCACTGGTGGCAGAATGGCAGCTCAGTGCGCTTCAGGCAGCCGCACACTTCCAGCAGCACCCTCGTTCTACTCAACACCACGCACTCCATGGAGGGCAACTACAGCTGCCACAACCAGAGAGGTGTCCTCCTGCAGACCATCAGACTCCGCCTAGGCCGTGAGTGAACTTATGAGCTTCAACACTGTGTTTAAACTCAACACTACAGATTGTTGTGTCTGGCAAAGAAAGACTTTATCCCTTAGAAGTAGAACTTTTTTTTTTTAAATTATCGTTTTGCTATACTGTTTGAATCACATAAATATGTAATTACATAATTATTAAAATACTTGCAGAGGGGTGGTCAGAAACCACCCTTCATTTATTTAAATTCCAGTCAAAACAACCATGAAGTACCAATTTTTCAGGAGATATTTCCGAGGACATTAGATAATCTACTTTCCTAAGAAGAGGGGAAAGTAAAAGGGAATTTTTTAAAGAGTTTCCAAAGCTAGAGTTCAAAGATACAGAGAAAATGGGACTCCAAACAAGACCTGGTAGACCACCAAAACTGTCACCATCAGATAAACAGTACTTGCTTCAGATCTGACAAAAAATCACAGGTGTTTCTGTCCATTCTTTCACTGTGAGAAGACAACTCAACACTATGGGTCTAAAAGGATGTGTAGCTGCCAAGAAGCCCTTACTGAGAAAAGTAAACTTTGTAAATCAAACAAAGAAGCTGTGGTGTTCTCAGGACAATGGACTGACCACTGCAGAGCCCAGACCTCATAATCATTGAATGTGTTTGGGATTACTTGGATTATTTGGTAAGAAGCAGAAAATGCAACTAACTTCTAAGATTGAATTTTGTTGGGGTTGAAAAATATCTCTGTAGATTTCTTTTAAAAATTTAAAGTCTCCTGAAAAATGGAAGCTGTTATAAAAGGTGAAGAGAGATCACATTAAATACTGAAACATTTCGATTTTTTTTTCCTGACACAGAAAAATGAGTAACGTATAATAATATATAAGGGTGGTCTCTGACTTTTGCACGGTACTGTATGCAGCATTCATTGAACACAAATTATGATATATCTATCTTTTTTAGAATTGGAAATGGTTCATTTCTTTTTTTTTCCGCTTCAAACATAGTCCTCTACGTTTAGATTCTTTCCTTTATTGGCGGACTTTGTTTGAAAGTCAGGAAATTTGTTTGTAAAAATGGAAGCACTTCAACGTTGTACACTCAAAGTGGGGCGAGGGCCACTGTAGACAATAAGTGTGCGGTGGTAGAATTCACAGCACTTCCTCTCACAGGAAATCACTACATCACAGGACTCTAGCTTCCTGTTCGGAAGGGCGAGATTGCCCATATACACATGTACACAAGTAGCCTTTTCGTGTTCAGCCCAAGCAATTTGCCCTCAGGGTTTCCAAAGAAATATGTGCTCTTGCGTTCAGGAAGACAGTGTTTGCTGTGCAGTTGTCTTATTTTCCCGTTTATGTGAAAGAATTTCTGGTTGTCTTACAGATCCTCCTGGTTATCTCAGTGTTTCCTGCCGAGTGCCAAATCACTTTAAAGTCCAGTGCTCATGGACACAGAGGGTGACAACATACTTGCCCACCAAGTACATCACCACTTACAGGTCAGGCCACAAAACATGGTTGTCATTCATTGGATTACTGATAAGATTCAACCAAAGCAATAAGTAGTGTCTCACGTATTCCTTCCAGTTTTTTCTAGTGGTGAAATCACATAGAACACAGAATTTGTTGTAGTTCATTGTCCTTGAAAGACCTCCTGCACTCAGAAAGATGTTTTATTTAAGTGGCCAACTTCTCTTGGATAGTTTGTTATGGTTATACTGAATGTTATTTGTGTCAGAAGTGTTACCATTGTGCAAAGTTCTAAATTTGCCTTTCGAAAACGCAGACTTTCTCAGTACATGTGAAAAAGTGCTTTGCTGTAACAGCTTATTTTTGCATGCTGTGAAACCAGTAGGCAAAAGAGACATTTACAATTTGCATAAACATGCATATTCATAAACCTTGTTATGTGACATTGTTAATGTGTATAGAGATTTAGGGATGACCTTCTGCCATTTTTATTACATTTTTGTACGTAACAGTAATACATAAAAATATTTAACAGTTCATTATTCAACACAAATTATTTTTCTTTGGTTAAATTATATTTAGATTAATTGTACCGGAATTGATAAATTCATTGGTGGTTATGAAAACTAGTACAAGTATATTGGCATTTGTGCCCATGTCTACCACATTGCCTTCGTGTAAAAGAACATAAAAATCCAAAAACATAGCAGTTTTATGTAATAAAATGTTTGTCTGCTTGCAAGTCACCCACACCTAACTTGTTGTAGTGACAGAGGATCATTACAAGGACCTGTAACCATTTCAGGACATTGGTTGTATGTGCTTGGAAAGACACAGCAAAAGACGCACACACGAAATACTTTAATCTTGGCTGGCAGTACGTATCTGTGTAGTTTAATGTTAGCTAGCAACTGATTGCTCAGACGTTGAGCATTATTGGAGCAAACAGATTTCCATTGGAATGTGCTGTAAAGCATTTGTCAGAGTTGACTAGTAGATCAGCTTATGTTATCTAGGTGACGAGGTCATGGACACTTGCATAGCTAAGAGAGTTCAAGGCATGACCCTGTATGGCACAGCTAACATCACGGGATTCTTGTTTTATAAATTTAGTCCAAATACAGTTTACATTCCATACATTTTTGAAGTTGCTGTGATCAATTAAGACTGAATTTGACTAATAATATAAATAAATAGTAAATATGTACATTTGTTTTTAGTATATTAGTATATGGTTACTTGTGAGCTTTATTTTCATCTTAATTACCACAGAAGAACATTATTATTTATTACATTTATTCTTCTTTATGCAAACTTTGATTAATTTGCTCTTTTAACTGAGTTTGTTCATCATGCTCTTACTTTGTACTGTCATCTGTCAGATCATAGGAGCCAATCATGTCTAGTCATATTTGAATCAAATTAAAGAAATACTATAAAGCAGTGAATGGAGGAACACATAAACCCTCAGGATGGTTTAAGCCTGGAATTTTTTTGTTATTTTATTTATTATGTATTTATTTATTGTATCTTATGTAATACGTATCATTTTGCCCCCAAAACCGCACAGTGTGAGTGACGAAAAGCCGCAGCCCTGTGAGCAGGAGCTTATTGATGTCAATGAGTGCATCATCAGTAATCCTCAGTTTTGGAAGCCCAAGTACCTTGTGAACATCACGGAGGTCAATCCCCTGGGCTCCAATTCCACCATCACCTTTGTGGATCTCGCAAAGACCTGTAAGTCAGCCAGCAAGATTTGTGGACTCTTGATTTGAAGTTTTATATATTGATGTTATATTACAGTTTAAAGCAAAATCATAAAGCTAGAGTGTTGTGCAAGTTTGAGAACACTGTGTGCAGTATGGAAAAACTTACCAGATGTTGTTAGAAAACAATTTATAATTTTTGGCTAAACAGTGCTTTGTATATAGATATATATTTTCTTCCATTCTCTATTAAAGATTCTTAATTTATTGCTCCATCCTTCTTTACTCTCTCTGTGTATAGTAAAGCCCGATGCTCCTGACACAGTGACTTGTGTGGAAGTGGGCGGTGAGCCCACGCAGCTGCTGGTGCAGTGGAATCTCCCAAAGTCCTGGCCTGCTGACCCGGCCGCGTTTCCCCTAAAGTTCGAGCTGCAGTACAGGCCAGTGGGATCTAACCTCTGGTCCAAGGTCAGTGTCTGTTTGGTGACTCATCAGTAATTCAGTAGCAGGGCTGTTTTATGAAAAGAAAGTGTCAACAAACAGTAAAGCTGTTAAGAAAAAAACATTTTCATGAACTGAATCAAAGTAATAATGTGCATTGAATCAAAGTCTAAAACAAAAGGAAATAATAATTATTGTCATTAAAACTGACAGAAATTTTACAAGGATTATGAGAGTTCAACCTAATGATTCACTACTATTGTAATGATATTTTCCTGTTTTCATCAGAAAAGAATTGTCCGGCCCATAAAAAAAGCTGACAGATATCCTGTCCTGTATGCTACTGCAAGCAAGTCTGATTGCCATCATATGAAAACTAATACTAAAATTGGAACTAAAATATATGAAACTGCACTGTGTGTCAAAACGTCTATAGACACCTGCTTATCATCCTCTATCTTCTGAAATCGAGGGTATTAATAAGCAGTTTGCTGGCAGCAGCAGGCTTTGCTCATTTGGGAAGGCTTAGATGTTGGAACATTTTGCTGTGAGGATTTGATTGCATTCATTTACAAGTACCTGAGGTCAGGTACTGATGTTGAACAATCAGTTGTAGATCACAAACGCCACTCAGCTCATGTGATGGAGCTCCAGAGGTATTGGATGGAGCTCCATCAGTCCAGAGAATGCAGTTCTGGGGCTCTACAGCCCAAAACTTGGGGCTTTATACCTCTCTAGCCAGTACTTGGCATTGGGCCTGGTGACCTTAGGCTAATGTGTGACTACACAGCATCTCATTCTGTTGGTCTTGCTTTTTATGGAGATTACGCAAACTGTATCAGCAGTGGAGCACCCTAAAGTAGCTGAACAGACTATTTAGTAGCAATGTCTGAATACATTACTATACATTTAATGTATTATGAAAGCTAATCTTCCAAGAAAACTAAAGAAATAGAATAATACAGGAATAAAAACTGCAATAAAACAGAAAACTACTGTAACCTTTTTTAGCAGGCATGTAATGTTCACCCGCAGCTTGTAAAGAATCAGGCTTACAGATGGAGCCTTTTATAAGAAAGCAAGAAAGTGAAAGTAAAAGAGTAAAAATGAAATAATAGTTTTGTGGTAGCCATGTTTGGTCAATGTTAACTTAAAATGTAATGTGAAACTGATTCTGGTTAATGCATACTCAGGTCTAACAAGAATAACAGTATGAATTCCAAGTACTGTTACCAAGATACTACCAAGATATTAGTTAATACAGTTACATTTTAAACATTTATTTGTTAATGCAGCACGAAGGCGACAGTTTTATAATGTGCAGATGGTTTCTTCCCTGTGTGAATGCAGTGGAGTACAAACAGTGCTAGTTGAACGAACAGCTCTCCTTCTCTTATCACACTGTCACATGTGGCATTGTCCAGCACAGCTCCCACACAAACTTTGCTGTTCTGTGGCTTCTCGGTCATGTTCCAGCAGCTTTCCTTTCCCTCCCCCACTCTCACCTCCTTCACTCACTCATCGCAGCTCCACACATCCCAGAGCTGCTGATGCTATCTCTTAGCTCCTGACGGCTTGGCCTTTCATCAGAATTCCAGATGTTGACTCTTTCAGGGCCCTCTGTGTGTGCCTCCCCTGATTGTGCTGTGTGTTTGTTTTTTTTTTTCTTAATCTTTTTCGGGCAAAATCAAGAAGTCGTTCATTGCTTTCCTGAATGAAATTCTGTTGTGAAAGGCATTCACTATGTGATTTTAGCCCACTGTTATTGTGTCTTTTTTATGATACACTTTGTTGGGAGTGGGCTTTACACATACAAGAAATACCAATGCTGTATTACCATTAGTACAATCTTTATTAGAGAAATAAAAATGTTTTTTTTTGTTTGTTTTTTATATATATCAGCTGTTATTCCTTTCAAAAACCTATTGTTACAAATTGATATACAGCATTTTGGAATGAAACTGTTCATACAGTTCTATACTATAGAACATTCATTTGGAAGTAGACACTAGCTTTGTTAAAATAAAGCATAATATTTAATTGTTTTCAAGAGATAACAGACAGTAATCTGTCTAAAACTACAAGGTTTGGTCATCTGCAGCAATAGCGTATATATGTCTTTCATTTCATTTTGCAAATAATGGTAAAAAAGTGGTAAAATCTGTAAAATAAGTTTTCTCTAGAGACTATTTTGATTTACATACCCTGCACATCCCTCTCTACAGTGATTGAATAAAAAAATGTTTTAGGCCTGAACTTTATAGCAAAACTATTATAAAACAAAGTCTCAGGCAACAGGAAATGTATTTGTTACCATTTAATGTAATAACTTTCTTACTCTGCAGATTTCTCTAAAATGGAGCATTTCACATCAAACCACTCTGAAAGACTTTATTTACATCTGAATGTAACCACTTTGAATTACTTTGTTAACATCTTACTGATTTAATTATGCAAACATGTTAAACAATCGGTGGAATTCTCCTTTAAAAATCACTGCCTGCTTATGTTCTTTCGGCCTGTACCGTATGTCACATCTGAAGCCATTTAGTGTGGGCAGATGAAAGATGCTAAATAGCTGACAGCTCATGTGTGGAGATGAATCCAGTCATAATGCTTTTGTTTGTCATTTTGAAGCTTCCATAGTGCTGTGAAATAAAGCTGCATATCGCACAAAATGCTGATTGTATCAGAGGAAAGATCTTGTACTGTCCCACACGAGTTTGGAGCTGGATGATGCACCTGTGCCAAATCCAACATTCAGTATTAAAATAATGTAATGCGAGCAGTTCCCTAGCGTATAGATTTGCAGACCCATGTAGCGTGTCAGTGGCCTTAAACTTTTTTTTTCCTTGCTGGGGAAACAGATAAAGCTTGAGAGACTAAAATGTTATGAAAACATATCTTTCAAATCGAAAAAAGGCCTTATTATTCTCTTATTAGCATACTGCAAAACCCTCGGCATATGTTTAAAATATGTTGAACTAGGAATCAAGTTCAGTACAATCCAGGAACTTGCCAGGAACAATAGAGCACGCTTGCCCATCTTTCTGTTGCTTGTGTTCAGTGAATGTGTGTGATTGTTTTGTGTCCAGCTGGAGACGGAAAACACCAGTGTGATGATCATGGACGCTCTGGTGGGCCACCTGCACCACATCCGAGTTCGAGCCCAGGACGCTTTCATAAACCACAGTCAATGGAGCGAGTGGAGTCAGGTGGTACAGGCCCGACCCTGGAGCGGTGAGCCACACATGCAAAAATCCACAATGAAAACAGCTTCCTTCTCTCCAAATACAGTCTTCATTACTGAGTCACCCAACACTGATCGACACCCACAATTAGCATTTACTTAGACAACACTCCCAGCATGCATTTACAGTGTGGTTCTTCTCGTTTTTCTTCTGCTGCCAGCCTTTGATTCTATGTGGCGCCCTCTTTTGGGCCTCTTGAGAAGTTTCAGTATGAGAAAGTCGTTCATCACATGAAAGTGGCACGTTTCTCATAGTTACACCTTGGACATTCATGGCTGATCTGTAAGCTACACTGAGTTATACCTGGATGGCCATAGAAACCTCATTGCCAAGTGTAGGGATGCACTGATATGGGAATTGTGGGCTGATGCTGATATCCAGTGTTTTTCATAAACATATCTGTTTATGTATCAACATTTATAAAATGTAGAAACTTGTGGTTTAGCATTACAGAGAAATACAACATGTATTTGTAGAGGGTTACAAATGCAATAAAATAAATAAAATGGAAACATTTGTAGTGCAGTAGCCCAGCATCGCCTAAATGATCTGCAATACAACAAATACATCATTAAATATTAAAAAATCCAATTTATACCAATTTACACCATTTTCCACTTAGCTCAAATGTGGCCATCTTTGGTGTCCTGTTTGCTGCTTCTTTCATTTTGCACAGAAGCTACAAGATAATGAGAAATTGTGCACATATTGGTGTCGTGCAAACTACATACCTGAATTGTAACACACTTCCCTCAAACCACTTGGAGTTGTCAAGTATTCTAAAATAGACTTGCTTATCTGGTTTCTGACACTGTGTGACACACTGTTATCTATAAAAATGGACAAAAGTATGGACAAAGTTGATGCTTCAAGATGGCTGTTACAACTGTTTCTAGCCATGTTTTTCTATTTTCTTTTCTTTCTTTTGCCCACTGTAACATTATTAACTAGATTACCTAGTAGGTACAGTGGTAATTGTACAACATTGCGAGTGAACGTTGGCCAAGAAACCATTTCATTATATGTTTGTGTGGTTCTGCCACATTTACAGACAATATAGAACTGTACAAGAATGTCCTAATAATGTTAAGTGTTACCCTTTATTTCTTACATTGTAATTCAAGATAATTGCCGTTAATAGTGGAAGTGATGCAATTGTGTGAGCTGTTTTCTTAGTCTGATGTTCTTTTGTCAGATCCTTTATTGAATACTGAAGAGCCCACACAAGAATTTTATGAGAACCCAGTCTTCCCATCCACGTTTCCAGTGAAGGCAACGGAAAAGTCTCCAGGTAAGCTATCACAGGCCTGTTCATTATATCAGGAATTGCCAAGAATTTTTTCAAGATAAAAACTGAAACATGTACTCACTTCTCTTTCTCCTCTGGACCGAGCGCTTTTTCGCCCGATGAAAGCATTGAGGTTTTGGCAGTGGAAGAGAGCGCAAGTCAGGCTCAGATCGAACACGCGTTGTTAGATGTCTTTGAGATCTTGTCCAGATAGACGCTTTTTTTTCCCCCTGCTTTATCCAGATGGCCTGGCTTTTGGTGTGTGGAGGTTGGGCTTTCTCCATACTTACTCCACAGCATCCACCAATCACAGAGCAGATCAGCCTTCATAAATGCAGACCATGTGGCCGGCGCCGGAATGACTCACTCGGCTTTAATTAGCTAACTGTTTCCAGCTTTTACCAGATTTAAAAGTGTTCTTTCAGCAAGCATACACAATCCCACTCCAGACACTACAGAAGTACTCATTATCAGAATACTCTGAGAAATCTGGAGAGATGTGCATTCTCAGTCATTCAGCAGTGACACACTGACAGTTTTTAGGATTGCTGAGTAAAAATGCCAAAAATGTATTCCTGTCACTCGCAAACATGCGATGTGTGCTTGTATCTGTACAGCCAAGGGGAATTATTAATGGAAATTATCTCCAACCTGCAGGCTATTCGGTCATAGCCAGAGCATAAAAATATCTGTTTTTTTTATGGAAGGCTGGGTAGTTGGAGTCCTTGAATGAGGCAGAAATTTCTCTGCTAGGAGAGAACTATTATGGTTAGAACGACTGGAAAAACACATGAATGCCATCGTTATTTGTAGCCCGAAGCAGAATCGGCCTATTTATAAATCTAATGAGTTTGTAAAACTGGGAACAAAAATGTTTGGTTGGTCATTGTTAGTTTTAGAATCTCTGGACTGTTGTGATGTTTCTATTGTCACTATTGAACATAACAATAATATTTGGTCTCTGTCATTTTGGTTTTGTCCAGACTCAACGTTTGATGAAAACGGAAGTATGAGTTTGTTGATCGCTCTCGGCCTGTTCGCAGCAGTAATGGTGGCAGTGGTGTCCGCTATCACGATCCTTTTATGGTGAGTCCATTTGAAATGCGGACGTTAATCATTATTATGGTATACAGGGAAGTAGTTCGTATTCATGTAAAGGTTATAAAAGGCTGTACATGTCTACACAGGAGTAAGACAATCATGATTAATCAATTAAACTTGATTACTTGATTTAAAAAAAAATCTTACCTTCAGTTTTAATGCTGATAAGCCAAATTCCGCTCTCTCTTACTCTAAGGAAAAAGCCTGATGGACACATTTATATGCATTTTTGCCACATAGTACAGTGTTTCCCCTTTTTCCAGGCTGGGTCATAGAACCCTCAAAGCTACCTGAGTTGTCTTGCGTACATGGCGTCAGTAAACGTGCAGGGCTGAAAAATTATCATTGCTCAGAATTTTAATGTTATGTATGACTCTATTTACAAGAAGGGCAACTGTGGTTGATTAGGAGTTTATTTGTAGTTTTAGTAGTATTTGTAGTATTTGTAGTATTAAAAGTGTTAATATTACCTTAAAGCAACATTAAAAACTGGTTGGAGTGTCAAGTCTATAGGAAAGAACAAACAGATCTGCTTTTGATTATTAGGACTTAATGAATGCTGTTGGAAGTTGTTATGCTATTGCTTATGTTCGCAAGCATCCAAAGGAGAGCTCTCATACTTACTAGTAATGCACGACCCACTTCCACCTATTATAGTGATTTGATGAAAATTAAAAATTTACCAAGTTGCATCCGACAAATTCAATTTATAATTTTTATGGGCTGCAAACAGCTGTTATGCGCTAGCAGTTTGGGACACTATCAGCAGCCTTGTAATTAAACGAATTCATAATACTCAAACTCATATGCATTAGACACTGTTTAAAAAAAGAAATAGAGTCAAAGAGTCTACATTAAGCATTTTCAATCTCAGACTCAAAAGTAGTTCTCTTTGTTGATAAAACTGCAAAGATTAAACATCATGCTAGCCTGTATTCAGGGGTACAACACCATATTTCAATAAAATCACCCCAAACTAATATTTCACTTTGCAGAAAAAACTCTAGCTCAAGCCAGCTCAGTGCTGCCACACATCATTTTATCACACCACTTGATCTTCATCAGACTTGGGATTTAAAATAGTACATTTTTACATTTGAAAATAGATTGAGAATTTTACACTGGCCAGAAAAATTAGCGCATACCACACAAAAACTGAACTCTGTGAAGCAAACGTTAGCCAGTAGTTACTGGAGCTGGGCTGCCTGCCTGGCCTGTTTAATGGTATTTAAAAAGCTGTAGTGTTTTTACATTCACTGCTTTTCAAAAGTATGGAATCACTTGTCAAATTAATAATTGCTGATCCTTTTTCAATTATAACTTAAATTGTATGGATGGAAATGCTAAAAGGTAGAGACCAGAGGATATTTTATTTAGGTTTTGTTGGGATCAACAAGAAGTTATTAATAATTTACTGTACATATTTATTTGTGGTAATTTCTTGATTAACACATCTGCCTTGAGATTTGATCACCGTGTTTCAAAAACAAAGCTTTATAGATGTTGATTTTAATATGACTTCATTCTCAATGTTATACAGCTTTCTCAATCATGGACTCATATACTGCACTGTTCATCATTCTGGACACATATAACATGACTTCATTCTTTCTTGCTTCCTACAGATTAGTTGAAATGGAGTAGTAGCAACATAATAGCGTCATTTGATACATTTATCTGTAACTAAATGTTTTCTATTATTGAAAACAGTGATTCCAAACCTTTGAGCAGTAGCATACATATAATTAAGATTTTTAAAGGCTTTCTGTTTTATATATTTCAGTAGTTTGCCCAATTGCTCAATGTTTTAATGGGTGGTGCCAGCCCAACACAGGAGCTTAGGAGGGCAAAAACTTTGTGTGAAGGCAAAAACAACTGTACACAACAGTGAGTATTACTAGCTGTTCTCACAGTCAGTTCAAACTCCGCTGGTCCTAATTCAGGATAAGGATAATGCAGGTTGATGCATTCAGATGAAATCTTCTCAGCGTCTGCACTTACTCTGTATAATCCTAATGCATTCTTCACTGTTTATATTTGCAGGGTAAGGAATAGAAGGCGGGACAATGTAACAAAGCAGGAACTGACCTCCATGGTGAAGATGAAGTCCTTGCCTATCTAAAGTGAGTCACAGCAGGCCTTCTCTGCTCTTTCTTGGGAAATCTCCACTCTGTGGCAATGGGCCTTTTCATGTGTTATAAAAGGCAGCAATGCCAATCGCACACCTTTTGTGAAATGACCATATAGGGAGCTCACTGTCAGTTCTAGCGCTCACTTGGCTAATCTTTCAACCATTTGTCTTTTTATGAACAACTCTAAAGGTCCAGATTTGCCTCTGTGTACTCCAGCGGAACAGTGTAAACAATCTGATTTATATCAGAAATGTGTACACGTCTGCTCTCTATTAATGTGGCAGCCTGTAATTGGCCCACCGCTGTCACACACTGAAATAATTATGAAAGATGAATCTTTCTGCTCATTTCCTTTGGCTAACTAGTTTTTCCTCTCTCTCCGTCTCTCCCCCCATCCTCCCTCTCTCGCTCTCCCCCCGCCCTTCCCCTCCTTCTCTCTCCTCACCACCCTCCGTCTCTCTTCCTCCACCCTCCCTCTATCTCTCTGCCCCTCCCTCCATCCCTTTCTCAAACTCCCTCTCTCTCTCCCTCCCTCTTTCCCTCCCACCCTCCTTCCCTTTTCTCTCTCTCCCCTGCCCTCTCTTCCTCCCCCCATCCTCTCCCTCCTTCTCGCTGGCTCCCTACCACCCTCCCTCTCTTTTCCTCCACCCTCCATTTCTTTCCCCCCACCTTCCTTCCCTTCTCTCTCTCTCTCTCTCTGTCTCTCTCACCCTCTCTCTGTCTCTCTCACCCCTCCTCTCTCTCTCTCACCCCTCCTCTCTCTCTCTCTCCTCTCCCTCTCTCTCTCTCTCTCTCTGTCTCTCTCACCCCTCCTCTCTCTCTCTCCCTCCCTCCTCTCTCTCTCTCTCTCTCTCTCTCTCTCCTCTCCTCTCTCTCTCTCTCTCTCTCTCTCTCTCTCACCTCTCCCTCCCTCTCTCTGTTCCACTCTCCTCTCTTTCTCTCCCTACCCCCCCCCTCCCTCTTTCAGATTTTCAGGTTGGCCCTCTGCTCTTTTAGCCCTCATAGGGCTTCATCATAGGGAATCATCACCACTGCCACTGCAGCGTGAACAGACTACAATACCCAAGATTCCAGCTTTCTCCTGTCGCTGCTTAGGGGATTGGCTCCTTTCAGCGGAGTTTTGAGTCCCGTGAACTGTGAACCCTTCCAATTCTGCAATGTAGCACAACCTAACAGAGAACTCAGAGTTACTGGCTTTCATTCTTTGACACGCAAAGCAGATTTGCCAGCTTTGGACCACAAAAACCAGCGTATTTCAAACTGAACATGTTTTCAATTCTCTAACGGCTTCAGCTTTTCCATGCAGACTTGTGCCATTTGGCTGCGGTGACACTTGGAATGCTGTGAAAAAAAAGCATGGCTGTTAGCCAATCGTGGGCCGCGCATTGGGCATTATGGATAAAGTTGGCATTCTCCACGTTTCAATGCAAGGAAAGGGACTTGGTGAACAGTTGCTTATTCCCCAACCTGAACATAGCTGCTAAACGTGGACGAGCAAACAAAAGCCAGCCATTTGGACACTTTACTGATGGAAGCTGAGCATTTTCAGGAGAATTTTTTTTTTCGTTCACATTGAGGTGATGATTACTTCATTGCTTCATTTCTTTGACCTTTGAAGGGTTCTCCTCACTTAAAGCCTCGACTCGTTTTAAACCAGGTGGACAAATCTGTAAACAATCTTCTCATTGGGCTTATTTTAAACCATAAGTGGCCTTTAAAACTCAATGACATCAACAGTAATCTCTCTTAAAAATCTTTTATTTCAGTGTCTGTTGCAAGACCAACAATAATTACCCTGTAGGCCTCATGACAGCAAGTTGGCATTCAGCAGACCACCCCTCCCCCAAACAAATAAAAAAGAAAAAAAAAACAACTGGTGCTCTGAAAGAATGCAGTTTATAGTGTCCGTTTCCCTCAAGAAACAGAAGTGTCATAGAACGAGGCATTCACAGAGCTTTGAAACAGAAAGTGAATGTAATTACTTGGTCTTACATTAGAAACACATGTAAGGCAGAGTTAAAGCCCCTCTCAGGACTTACCACAGCCATAGCAGGACTAGCACTGAGTATAGTAATAGAGAGCATGGTAAGCGTTCTTAACGTACATACTGTATCTTTTAGTAGATCGATTGATCACTGTATTATTCATTCATAGTTCACCTTTGTCCTTGTCATGTCTGATTGCTGCTGATCAGGTGGTTGAGTGGAGACTGAATTAATTTGCATTGAATATGCAAAGCATTAGATCACGGAAAGTTCCTGTTAGTCTCCGAATGACTTCGTCCATTATTGCATTTCCACTGATCAGTGAGCACCAGAAGTATGTAAAGTACTGCACAAACGTCAGAGACCACCCTGGATTTATTTAATATCCTGTAAGTACACGTTATTCATTTTCAGCATCAGGAAAAAAAAACAGAAAATGTATTTAACAGAAAGTTACACAGAAGCCTTAACAATTAAATATGATAGCAATATTTGTCAGTATTTAGTGTGTCCATGCTTTACCTTTAAACACAGTTCCCATTATTTTCAGGAGACTTGCGTTCAGTTTTTTAAAGAAATCTTCAGTTGTTCAGTCGTAGAAGTTGGTTGCATTTTCTGTATCTCACAGTCCAAGTAGAGTCATCAGTCCATAAAACCTCACTCCACATCTCAGATGTCCAATTTCAGTGTTTTAGTACAAATGTTTGTCTTTTTGTCTATTTTTTTTCTCAGTAAGGGCTTCTTAACAGCTACACATCCTTTCAGACTCATAGTGTTGAGTTCATCTCACAGTGGAAAGACGGACAGAAACACCTGTGGATGTTTTCAGATCTGAAGCAGAAGTGGACGTTGATTTTTCTCTCTCAAAGTTAAAAGCTTTGAGTACTGACTGACTGATAAGGACAGACAGTACCTGGTGGTCTACCAGGTCCTGCATGGTTGTTACAAGTCTCATTTTTTTCTACATCTTTAAATCATTTGTTGAACTCCAGTTATGGAAACTCTGTTTTTTTTTCCAATTACTTTTCTTTGACTTTCCCTTCCTTATGCAAGTGGATTGTCATATCTGTTCCAATTAGAAATATCTTCTGAAAAATCAAAAGGATTTCAATAAAAGCTGGTCTCTGACTTTTGCGCAGTACTGTACGTATTTGTGTAGGGAAGCTTTCCAGTGCCAGCATCAAATGATAAACAAATAGAGCCTTGCCCCCCCCGGCAGCTACTGCTTACGATTTGAGTCTGCGTTATTCTGATTGGCCCAAATCCCTGAAAGGACTAAAATTGTAGCGTTTCCTGATTGGGTCTTTAAATTCCAAGACCGTAATGAACTTCTGATATCTACTTTGAAGCTAATGCATATTCATAATATTGAATATTCAGTTGAAGCTTATCTTCACAGTTGTATTGTTATAGATTTATCTTTATTGTACAAAGGTCTCTATAAAATACCGTTCCCAGTGACATAAAGCTTAAACAGTGCATGTGTGCTTTCTTTGTTGCTCGTTTGTTTTTGTTTATTTTTTTCTGATATGTATCCAAAATAAGCACAAATATGCTGTTCTCTGTACAAAGATACAGACATATTGTGACATTGTATCAGCTGAATCAGTAATTATGTCGTTGTATGTTTTGCTATTAGGACTACAGGCATTGTAATCTGTCCCTTTATAATTAGTGCAACTTTTTACTACACATCCCCTCTACAGTCCCTTGATTGGAGTTTTTAGTGTGCTTGATTTGTTTTTTGACATGCACAGTTTAAATACCATGGTGCAGAGCTGCAGTCTCACTGAGTGCCTCAAACTTTGGTAGATTTGACTCAAATTGCTGATAAATGTGGATTTTTAAGCTTCCGTTGAGATTTCAAGTATGTTTTTATACGATTGACTGAACATCTGACCTGCAGCTTAAATCCACCAGTCAGGGTGTATCATGAATTCTCTGCTTTATTACTCAAAACAATTACTCAGAAAGGATTTGCATGCCTTTAACTTTTAATTTTGGCTGCTTTGATCTCAGCAGCATTGTCGGAACTGCTTTGATTCTGCAGTAGTCATGTCAGGTTGTGGGAAACGGCGCTGTTTTATGTCGGTGCTTTGAAAGAAGACCAGTCACTGACTAAGTTTTTGTTGTTGTTGAAGATGTTTTCTTGGTTCCTTCCTTAACTATGATGGAACCTTTTTAATTCCTCAGCACTGCTCAGAGCTTTGGCACTTGTTAGGGAAGAGAATGTTAATGACTGAACTGTAGTTGGCCTTGTTTAGTTTTCAGTACTGTAAAAATGTGCATATTGTATGTGCATACCTCTCCTGCCAAGAAGGTTTAGGAAATCATGTTGCATGTGTGCGTGTTCAAGGTATTGATGCAGCGGCCGGGTGGGATTCGACACTGTGTGTATCGAAGTATGTAGAATGTTGAAGGAAGCACAGCAATGATGGTGTGCTGAGTTGGACTGTATACTCACCTTTATATATGTAAGCCTTTAAATACTAGCAAATCTATTTTTCCAGTATGAAAGTAATCAGAAAGTGGATACATTTGGTTCAGATATCTCTGGTCACTCCAACAAAAACTTTTATCTCCATTTTTGTTGTCTTTTTTTTAAGAATTTGAAAATGCCAGCTGCCTTTTACATTGTGCATTGTGTTAAAATTACACAATGAAGGATTGATAGAAATGGCTACATGGGGGAAAAAAAGTCATGTTCCATCAAGTTAAGAATGTGTTTTTTTCTTGTCTTGGAGATTTGGAAGTTTTGTTTATATATATATATATATATATATATAGATATATAGATATATATATAGATATATAGATATATATATATAGATAGATATATAGATATATAGATATATATATATATATATATATATAGATCGTCGCTGTCCAATGGAAAAACAAGTATCTCCAAAATAGTAACTTTACAGGAGAAGATTCTTACCTTTCAATACAAGTTAATTTAAAGTGGTTTTATTACAAGTGATTTTAGAGCATTTCTATTGGTCCTTTCATCAGGAAATTTTCACACAACATAAAGGACAGCTGGAGATGGACATGGTTTTCATTGGACAGCAACGATATATATATATATATATATGTGTGCGTGTGTGTATGTGTGTGTGTGTGTGTGGTGCAAGCTGTACCTCTGTGTGTGTGTGTGTGTATGTATGTATGTATGTGTGTGTGTGTGTGTGTGTGTGTGTGTGTGTATATATATATATATATATATATATATATATGTATATATATACACACACACACACACACACACACACAGAGGTACAGCTTGCACTGAGGGTTTTCCTAAACATGGTTGGCTTCACTATAATTGATTTGAAGCTTGATTGGCTCATAGTGCTGTTTATGGTAGATGATCTGACAGCATAATGAAAAGGAACGCTTTAATTAAAAATGAATAACATCCAAATGGCTGTGAAAAGTGACAGCGCAACACGACATTCGAGACTTGTTTTCCCCTTTTCAGTTATTGTCGCTCGCATGTTTCTAAAAGCAAAAAAAAACAGTCAGATACAATTGCCTTATTTGTGTGTTGTGTTGTTGGTGAACGTTGGGCTACTGTTGTCTGTTAAATGGGGGGTGGAGAATACAAAGAAGTCCATGATAAATGTATGTCCAATATATTTTGCTTTTGTGTACAACATAAGCTGTTTTATTACTCTTCGGTTCATATTCTTGTGAAATAAAGGTTATTTTATCACAAGTTTGGTGGTTGTGGATTTCTTATGATTATTAAATGCTTTCAAAAACAGCTCAGCATGAAACATAATATGACCTATGACCCACATATAGGACACGTTGTAAAAAGTTAAATGTGCACTCCTAAGAGCAAATATTTTTAAATGGTTTTTAGAGGGGGTGTACAATTGCTTAACTTTGTTCCATCCTCTCTTTAATTCTAATGGATAAACGCTCTTTTTGTTGCTGTGACTTTTAGACCAATATACATAAATGAGCTCTGCTCTGATTGGCTGCCCTGTTTTGAACCTAATTCAAAAAGGCTGAGACGCTTCCTATTACTTCGGTGTGAACGGGTGGAGCTAAAATGCTATAGGCCGAATAGATGGATATATTTAAACACCTTTGTTTTGTCGACCACAGAAAGAATTCAACACAGGCTGATTTTGCCGCTCAACTTCCATATACGGACTGTATGGACTGAGGAGTGAATGGTACATTTTGAAACTTGAACAGTGTCCAAATTCTATGTCAAACTCCTTCAATTAAAATATATAAGCCATTTTACTTCATGATGTGCCCTTTACAGAGTCAGAATTGTTTACAGTGGTGGTGATAGGATCCAGACGTCTGAAGAGCTTCATGCCTCTAAAAGCTCCCTCACAGAAAATTATTACATGAAATGGTAATGAATACACTGCCTGATGCCTGAGACAGTTTTGTGACAAATTTTTGACCTAAAATGTATTTTTTTAAAATACATTCATGACAGAGGCCGCCCATTCGGAGTGTTGTAAGGCAAAATGATCCCCAAAGAAAACGTATGTACTATAATCATTATTAAGTACGATAATAACAAGAATAATAATAAGAAGAAGAAAGTCAAAGGAAGAAATGACATTTTTCCCACACAACTTGGGTACTCGATTTATATATTTTGGCCCAAACCTCAATCTTCAAGTTTTGGACCCGAGTCAAACAGATCTCAGAAACATCAGCTAAGTCAGATGGCCTATGACATCTCGCACAAAAGCTGAGATAAATAATAACGTCCGCATTAGTGTTAGTCTCTGTGCCGGTCAGTCCTTCCTCAAACAAGCCTTGTGCTCTCTTTCCTGTCCTATGAGGGGAAATGTGGAGCTGTGCCAAAACAACATGCTTCATTTGACAAGGAAATAACTTCCAAGGTCATGCTGTACTGCATTTAGAGAAAAGTTCCACTGCTAGCTTCCCCATAATTACTAAACATATTTGCTAGTAAAATATGGGTATCTTATTTGGGCATTAAAAAATTGGACCAAAGATTGGATCTATTAACACTATTTCAACATACTCAGTGACGACTGAATTTAATGGCATTTTGCTGATATGATGGCACATATCATTATTGCAGTATTTGAATAAACAAATGTTTGACTAACGTTTCTTTGTGTGGGAAATCTGTACACAGTATTTAAATTCTCACCAGCCTGCAGTGACTCACAGAAGCTGAAATAGGTCACATATTAAGGTCCATTTTATGACTTCCTCATGATAATGACATACATGTGCAACGACCTTCAAGACTGCCCAAATAAAGTGAGGAATGCTCACGACTAAAACGGTGCGGATGAGAAACGTACTTATGTTTCTTATTCACCAGCTCCTGATGACAACAGTTCAGCTTCTCTAATTACATCAATGAATTAACGTTACATATTAGCTCAGGAATCAGCAAAATCTTATTTTATATATCCTATATATATAATTCATATATATATATATATATATATATATAAATATTCATATACTTGCATCCACCATTTATCCTAAAAAGTATTGAAGCATCTTTTATTTTTTAACCCCTTGGACCTCAGACTTTTTAGCCAGTTATTAGTTATGTCTTCTAAATTTTCATAGGTAATGTTGATGGTCAAAAAGTGGTAAATGTGAAAATATTCTGAACTTCAAAAAGCAAGTTTGGGGCCATAATCCAATGTCTCAGTGATCAGGTATCATATTCATACCTACTTTATGTAACAGCTTTCTGTGAGGGCGCTTAAAATGGTATTAAACTCTTCAGACGTCTGGTTCCTATTACTACCATTGTGAACAGCCCTGACTCAGTAGGTTTCTCTGGAATGGAGCATTTCGCATCAAACCACTCTGAATGGCTTTGTTTTCATCTCAAACACTTAATAATGCAGAAATTTTGAAAAGTCAGTGAAGATTCCCTTTAAAACATATTATTCAGTAACTACTCTGGAAATAGCTAGCATGTACATTCTGTATTTATGAGAGAGAAAAGCTGAATTTACTTAGATTATTTCCATATTTTGGACTATTTCAGCTGTAGCCTATTATAGTGAGCAAGCACTGTGAGCTTGCAAGGCAACAAAAATCCCTTTCAAGATCAAGAAGGGTTTTTCCTAGTCTTTAAACTGGAAAATCAGTCAAGTGTCACCACTGTAGGAGTGGAGTAAGCATGTTTTTATGTTAAAGTCAAGGCAGGGAGGTGTTTGAATGAGAGCAGCGTGATGAACATTTATACGTTTTAAATAACAGCTGTGCTGTTGTGCAATAACCAAAATACAAAACGTCTGAAATCTCTACTCGGCGTAAGACTCAAGGCCGTTCAGTGCTCATGGAAGTTGAGTGCACTAACAGATGAGCAGTGCAGACCGACAGCACTGACGAAGGCTAACTCCAGTGAAGGATCAGCATAAGACTAAGAGAAAAGACTCCAGACCAGGTCTGAGAACATTAGGTGGAGGGTGCGCATTATCCACTTCAAGTGAGTTTAGTGAGAATTTTCATTAATGGTGATTTTTGACAGTGACAAAAGTAACAAATTCTTGACAAGAGATTAACAACAATGCAAAAGACATTATTGAACACAATAAATAAAATGTGCAAAACGCAAAATGATTTGTGAATCTGTACAGCGGCAATTACACAGTAAATATAGACTTAAACACAAAAAAAATAAATAAATAAATAGAGAGGGGACGGTAGCAGCTTATCTTCAGTTGTAGTCCAATAGTGCCCCCTGTTGGTCAAATAGTAATAACAATAAGAGGAATGATAAATTTGGTTCACGTCTGCCTTTAGTTGGCATGTCAATTCTTATTCAAAGGAAATGTGTCAAAGGTTTGATTCATCAGTTCTAAAGGAAGCAGAATCCTTTCAGTAAATGAATCAACTGAGTTTAACTAAAGCAACTGTAAACTTAAGTTTAAAACCAACTCATAACATACTGAGGTATTAAAAAGTGCTTCAGTGGTTAAAAAAAATATAGTTTGGTAATATCTGGTAAAAAAAAAACAAATTCTAAAGCAATACAATGTGGATTTGAGGGTTAGTTATTATTTACAATGATGTTCAATGCAGAACACAATGACTATATGATGGGAAACCTATACAAGACAGTATCAATAGTGCGAGAACACAATTTGCTATCACTGTTGTTGTGACGCCGACTGACCAAGACGAGACCTTTTTAATGGTTACTACTCTAAACTTAAAACTAACTTCAAAAACTTAGAAATTCCCTTTAAAATCCCTCCTAATTCACAGTATAAGATGATAATTGACTAGACAAAATGATGGTATCTTAATTAATGCTATGAAATGCATCTTAAATGAAGTGAGCTGGAGATTAAAGTGAGTTAAAGTGCAGTCTGTCAGCTTTAATTTTAAAGTTTACACATGTATATCAGGTGAACCAGGTCAGAATTACACAGTCCTCTTAATTTCCGACCAAAATTAATCGGACAGGTGCCTGCCCAAGTCTGCCTGTCGCGGATGTCTGTGCGTGCTGCATCTGGAGTCTGTTAACTTTTATCCCTCAACATGATCAAAGATGTGTCAATGACAGCAAAGCAGGCCACCATGAGGCTGTAAAATCATACTGTAATGCATCAAAGCCTACCACACCAGTATAACCACAACATGTAAACCACTGATAAACATCAAGATCAGAAAGCCAAGATACATTTTGAAATAAAGCCTGAAGAGTTCTGCAACAAAGCTGTATAGACGGATGAATTCTGAAGTGTACAAAAGGATTTTGACTGCTGAGATGCAAACAAACATCTCAGCTCACTGAGCAGCGCAGAAACATACTGCTAAAGCAATGAAGAAGCGTTCAGAGGCAAAAAAGTGGAATGTTTTTGACCGGCCAAAGCAATTACTCAAGCTCAGTGACCCCACTGAGCAGCATCACAGACTCTGGGGAATGGTACATGTGACATTGCTGTAAGATTATGTCTCCTGAATTATGGGCCATGAATCCTACATGATTCACCCAGCATGGATCAATATCCTCAAATTAACGCTGACAGTCTCCACCTTAACCTCAATCATCATTTCAAATCCAAACTGGAGCACAGTGGCAATACAACAGAAACCGTGTCACTGTCCGGCTGCCTACGGTCTGTACTGCAGCTAACAGTGTAATCTCTGCCCACTTCACCTACTCTTTGCTCAGATGGACAATCTGATCAGGGCTTTTTGTTCCAGTCAGCTGATACTAATCTCCACTTTCCTGGAATTCGAAACAGCAAACAGACCTTTTCCATTCACCTTCACATCCCGACACATTCACTACACCACACGATCACATGCTGACAGTGTATCTAAAGCGCTTTTCACACAAGCTTTACAATCAACTGCAGACCACGCTGGCAAAACTGAGCTGTCACAGGTTGTTATGGGTGTTACAATGATCTGTACATGACGATTAAGTGGAATCGATTTTGGATGTGTTAGTTAATTATAATCAATTATAATAGTATATAATATTCAAACATAGTGCATTGCTTTTATTTGTTTATATTCTACTACTGTAGCTCCTCCAGTTATGTACTCAATGTACACTTCCAGTCAAAAGTTTGGACACCTAAATACACATTTTTCCTATTTGTAATATTTTTATCTAAAAAGTTAAAGTACAGTTAAATATTAATGAAGTTTGTTTGAGACAAACAGTGAAGTGGTTACTTAAGTACAATAATATTTTAAAAATCTAGGAAAAAATGCATGTGTTATGTATCCACACACACTCATATATGTCAGTGTGTGTGCATTAACCTTTTAATTAACCTTTTTAACGATTACTTTATTATTAGGTACATCTCACTTGTTTTTACACTCACTGTCCATTTTATCAAGTCCACTTAGCACAATGGTGTATTTTGTAGTTTTATAATTTAAGTCCATCTGCATGGTAAACAGAACTGTTAAAATGGACAATGAGTGTAGAAACAAGGTAAGTGCGCCTAATAAAATAGCCATGTGTATCTTCTTCTTCATTCCTAACTGAAACGCATTTCAGGTGGCTTTTTGTGACGCTGCTTGAGAGAATGCCAAGAGTGTGATTTTGTTCAAAACTTTATCTATGTAATTTCATACGTTATTTCATAGTTTTCAAGAAAACAATAAAAATAAGGAAAACTCTTCTATGATCAGATGTGTCCAACTTTTGACTGGTAGTGTTTAAGAATGTGATGTTGATGTACTGAATCCTTTCCTGAGGAATCACATTCAATTAAACTGAGGTCAGAGGTTCAGACCACTATTATTAATAAGTACGTCACAGACTAAGAGTATACACATCATGGAAACATTCACTAGCAAATCCGCTAAGCTGTGTCTCACAGAACTAAGTTTGATTATTAATAATTGAGCGCCCTGAGCTCCCCTGTATATAATATTCAGCAAAACGCCATGCTGACTGAACACAGCTAGCCAAGCTGCCAGTGGGTATAGATGTCTCTCTGATGACAGATGGCAAAATTCAATGATGTCTAGTACAGTATCTCTGGACTTTGGTGAGACTGGACCTGCAGCTCAGGCTGTCTGCGCAGAAAGAGTGACCGATATTCCTCTGGTGAGTGACTGGGTGCTTGAAAAACATCATCTGGCAAATACAGCCCCATCGGAAAAAAGTACACAGGAAAAAAAAGCTATCAAGTGCTAAATGCACTAACATGTTCAATGCGACCACAAGGCAAAAAATTCTTCAAAGGGCAACAGCTTGTTCAGTCTCTCTTACAGTTAAAAATAGTTTAAAAGTCCAATAAGGGAAGTCAATAAACCTGATAGCAAATTGACACCTGACCAGCTAGTTAAAATGACCATAGATACAAGGGACAAGGAAAGAATCCACTGCAAATGGAAGTGAGGCAATGCTGAACCATAAAGAGGACTGAAAAGTCACACCAGGTGTCGGCAGGCACAGATCATTCCAGTGCAGGAGTTTCCTTAGAGAAGATAAGAAAAAGACCCAGACACATTGTACAAGCCCACATACGTTAAAGGCTCCCCTCAGACGTCAATAGCCACGCCGTGTTTGGTGGAGATCATGTCTCTGGTTCCGGTGAGATACATGAGCACAGAACAGAGGTGTGGCAGAGTGGCAGTGATGGTGATGTACAACCAGTAGGAGATGGGCGTCGTGTTGCCGAAGGGACAGAGCCACAGGCCGTGGCGTACGCCATCCCGGATGTGGTGGGATGCCAGCGAGATGAAGAGCATCCAGGGTAGAGAGCACCACGAATCCTTCAGGCGGCAGGCCCACATCAGCAGGCGCAGGGAGAAGCAGAATGCCGGGATGAGCGTGGAACAGTGCAGTGGTGGCCGCTGGGGTAGATTCAAAGCAGCCTGGTCAGGAAAAGGGGACAACACAGTGTTAATAAGTAGCCATGGACTAAGAAAAGGCTGAAAGGGGCTTTCAGGGACAGAGGGCTGCACATTAATAGTGACAGTTAAACAAAATAAGTTTTCCCCCATTACCCCAAACGTTGGTGATGAGCCAAGACATGTTTTGTGTCTGTACGACACTGTACAGTACTACTCAGATGGAATTAGTTTTACATGAACACGAAGTCAAATTGTGTACCTCAAATAAGTTTCAGTGGTACAATACATTTTAACTGCACTCTGAATTAAATTTTAGCCATGCTCTGAATCTGCATAGCTGGCTCCTGGAGGCCTGCCCAGCAAATAAAATGACTTTTACTGACATATTTAGTCTCTTCTGGAAGCATCCATCTTTTAATAAAAAAGAAAAACAGGCTCCCAGATTTTAGGTCATAACTTTTTTTCCTCTGTCTTCAACTTTAACCTGATTCCAGAACTGTTTCCTCTATTATTCCCATAATTCTTGGTAACCACCCCACAATTGGCAGTACACCCTCACACAAGAAGAATGCTAATGAAACTCGCAAGTATCCTGTTACACCGCTGAAAAGTAATGTTATCACAACAGCTCTCTTAAATATCAGGGCACTCCATAGCAAAAGTGCATTTGTCGGTGATCCTATCAGCAACCATGATCTTGACATGATAAGTCATGATAAGATTCTTTTATCTAGTGATTTTAATTTTTATGTTGGTACCTCCACACACTCTAAAGCCAACGATTTTATGCAACTTTTAATTTCCCCTGATTTTACTCAGCATCTGACAATGAACTCAGGGTCATACTCTAGATTTTAACATTTCTCATGGCTTAAGCATTAATATACATGATATTCTAGTGTATGTGGTGGTATCAGATCATCACTGCTTTTAGCTTAGCTGCTAGATCTACACAAAATGTAAAGAAATCTAAACTGGTTAAGAAACACTGCTTTACAGAATCAACTTCAGCTGACTTTGTGAAAATTTTTGAGGAAATTCAGTCCAGTAATGTGCCTTTGATGGTACATGACCAAGGTATGTTTTGCAACGCAAGGCTAACTAGTATTTCCATTATGCCTTTTCTGGGAAAAATCAAAGAGAAAGTGTTGCAGTCTGCTAAATGTTTTCCTTCTACATAACAATACATATGAAAAAATTCAGTTACACATCAAGTCAGGCCACAGCACAGAAACAGCCTTTGGTAAAAGCAGTTAATGACCTCAGATGGAATAGTGAGGAGAATAAAATACCAAACCTCACTGCTACATTTGAAAATGTTGATCGAATTGGACTTTCTGGAAATGTACTTAAGTAGTTTCATATATATTTGACAAGACTTTGTTACCACTGGTGATTTTGTATCAGGAAAACATGTAATTCGCTGTGGTATACCACAGAGGTCTATCTCCGGGCCACTCTTATTTTCATTATATATGCTGCCACGTGGCCAAATCTTCAAAGAACATGGAGTCAACTTCCATAGCCATGATGATGACACACAGCTTAACATCTCTGTTGCACCTGGTGAAATAAGTGCTGTTGATCAGCTAGTTAATTGTTTTTTAAGTATCATAAACCTGATGAACAATAATTTCTGGAAACTGACAAATATAAAACTGAAATTCTTCTAACTGGATCTACTGCACACAAAGTAGACTAGGAAGTTGGCTCACAATCCCCATGTAAAGCTAATGTAAAATGTCCCTATGTATAACTAATCCCATCTAAATAGCACTTATGACACACTATTATCATTAGAAATTGACAACTGCAGGCATAGACATATATAGACATAAAAACCACATAAACCTACCTGAGACCACCTATTTTGACATGGTTTGGTGCAAGTGTGTGATGATTTAAGGAGTTTTAAGTGAGGTAAAGATAAGTGAGATAAGCTTCCTTCGCTATATCAGTATCAAAGCTCCAGTGCAAAACTGAAGAAGCAAACTTTAGGCACCAAAAATGTCTTGGTTGATCAGCTACATTTAGAATGAGGGGGGCATATAATAATATAGATGTGATTTTTCACCAAACTATCACTTTAAGGTCTGTGGTGCTCAGTTCCTGTGATGTGGGCACCCTGCACTGAGCCTGCTTTGTGTCTTCCAATTACTTACCTAATCTAATTCACCACAAGAAATGCTGCTGGGTTGAATTAGTAGGACAACAGACTCACAGTGAAGAGGAGGAGGAATGATGCTGATCTGAGGTAATGATGACTGATGATCAGTATGCCAGGTTGACCAGTCTAATACCTAAGAGCTTTTGTCACATTGCTTGTGTCCCCAGTTGCAGACGTTTTTTTTTTCCAGGGAAAAATGTAAAAATGCCCTATCATCCTGCAAGTTATAAGGAAAATAAATAACACACGAAACTGCAAAGGGCACAAAGTGCACAGAGGTCCTTATAGCGCAATCAGTGACTCAATGCCTAGTGAATAGTGAATGTTCTAGCCAATGAGAGGAATTATGATCATGTCCTTCCTCCAATTTTAGTCACAGAGCAAGAAGAGAGATTTGGTTAAGCCTTCTTTCTACAGACCTGCTGAAAATTTCTGCAGTTCCAAAATAAAGGAAAAACAATCTTACATCCCTGACAACACAAAAGCATGTTTAGTAAATCAAGCTAACACTCAGAAGTCTTGAGTTATTACTGTATTGCTATATATTAGATTCTCTTTATATAGTTATTTCTATTTAATTGCATAAATAATTACAGTATTTCAGTCACAGTACAACAGTGGAGCTGATAAAATGTACAATGAGTGTAGATACAAGGAGGTGTACTTTAGGAAGTGGCCAGTCATTATTCAATATATTCAATATAATTTAATGACTTTATAGTTCAGAAGATTCAGTGATATTTGGGAGAAAAATGTCTATAAAACGAAAACATACTGGTTTTGGGGCATTTCTGTGTAATATGTGATGTGATAGTGGCCACTTTCGAAAAACAACATTCACTTAGAATCTCAGAATCTGAATTTCCTAATATATGCATAACGACACCTACAGAACAATAACACGACTATAGAGGTATGGAAGTAGTGGGCTATATGACGATGTTTCATTGTTATCGTGATAAACAATATGCAATGAATTTTACAACACCCTGGACCATCAAGACCTGGTGCAACACATTAGGCATTTTAGAAGAGTAAATAAAAGGACTTACTTTGAGTGACAGCGATCCGGCCATGTAGAAGTGGTCCAGGTCAACAATTGAGGCGAGGAAGCCCGCCAAGACGACTTCATAGAAGTCACTTTTCTTCCTCAGCCCAATGACAATCGCCCAGGACCACAGTCCAATCACACCGTGCACAGAGTTATCCAGCACAGCCCTGAGCCACACATGATGCTGGATGAACGGGGAGGTCAGTATATGGTCAGCCAGAAAGCAGAAGACTCCAAGGCCTGCGCTGGCCAGCAGGGAGGCTGTGCTGAATGTCTGGAGCAGAGCCTGGGCTTTCTCTGTCTCCACAGCCAGGTTCAGCGGCACCGCCATGCTCAGCGACGACGCATCCAGCTTGGAGTGGAAGCCCCTCATCGCTGGCCTCTACCACAAAGAGGGGTCAGCAACTGCTTCTGATGGCGACAAACACAAAGGCAAGAGAAGGTTAAAAACAGAGTACAGAGAAATATGTTATAACATATAAAAATTATGGTGACAAATCAGTTAACTCTGGATTACTACATTTGATTATCAATTATGTTAATACTCAATATAAGGTGTAATGATTCATATTTTGATTAGATACTTTTTCGATACAGCAAAAATTAGGAGCGGCTGAAAATGTGACTTATGTTAATATGTTAATGTTTCCATTTCCTTTTTTCACAGCACCACTACACAGTTAACAAAATTACAACACACAGTGTGAGCGAGTGCTGTTTCAGGATAGATTTGTTACAGGATTCAATTACATTCATTCTGTTTTTTCCCTCTGATATCCAGTTCAGCATTTTCTGATATCATTATTATTATCAACAGCCTGCAGCACAATTCACTGAATCAGGGACAGGGCAGACACGCTAACAAGTCGCAAGGAAACAAGGCCATTATGGAGCCTATTCACTAGGAGTTCGGCTGCAGACCGAGGCTATGCTCTAAAAATACACCCACAAGTTCTAACAGACTGAGAGAACTCTACAGCCCACGACTGATGCAGTCACACTCGGCAGCCGCGCTCTCTAAAGCCTTGTGAATCACGGCAGAGGAGGCATATATTTTCTCTTTTTACCTTTTCCACAGTGGTTGTTTTCTCCACAGTTCTTCTCTCCAAGTGAATACTTGGGCCTGATGATATTCTAAAATGCCTAGGCACACAGGCCTATATGGTCAGTTCCTCAAACATGCGTTAGCCTATACTCAGATAAAATTGCAAGCCCAAAGGTGTTTAAACATTTAAAAAACTTTTTGTCCAGGCTTAGACCTAATCTGGGTTTGGGAAACCAGGCCATAACGTGTACCTGGAAAACTAAGGCTCAGGAAGTCTGCTAAATTCAGAGGAGACGACAAGCAAGCAGCAAACGCCAACACAAGAGATGTGCTGTGTAGATGAGTGTGCGCTGCATGTGCAATGACGCAGAAACTGATGAGGGTGCTGGCGGTATGCTTTAAAAATAGCACACCCATCTGCCTGCCAAAGTGTAGGCTTATCTAACATCTGAATTGAAACCTACCATCAATACGAGATTCCGTTATATGACTTTCCTGTTTCATTACTGTTGATAAAGATGAAGTGTAATTATTTTGGATTTCCCTTGACTTGTCAGTTAGCCATATAACTTAAGTTGGAGTTCCACTTATTCTCCAAAGTTCCTGCATAATTCAGCGGTCGAGATGTAAACAAAGTAATTCAGAGTGGTTTGATGTGAAATGGCTCATTTGTAGAGACCAACTGAGATTTAAAACAATGTGTCTGGCGTCAGACAGTGTATTCATAACCATTTCATATAATAACATTCCACAAGGGAGCTTTTAGAGGTGGACGTCTGGTTCCCATCACCACCATTGTGAATAATTCTGACTCTACAAGTATCTCCAGAATGAAACATTTCACACCAAACCACTTTAAAACCTCTTATTCTCCAGGGTATATTTTGGTTTCTCCATCTGAATTTACATGGCCAAATCGTAAGGCAAATCATTCAGTAACTGCATGAAATAAATGTACATTTTTATTTTTGTAAAAGCTCCCCTCAAATTAACAGAACATGTGTTTTATGATCACACACATATTGCTGTATGCTTACAATTTACTGCTGAAAGCCAAAAATCTTAGACGCTCTTTGTATTTTTTTATAAAAATAATGTTTACAGAGTATGTCACTGAATGTTTATAGCCCAGATTTGTGGAAAAATGCGTCAACTTTCAGTAGACAAAAAAAATTGAGAGTTCAGCTTCTTCTATTATAAGGGTTTAAAATTACATTACCCATCTATTTGACTGGAAAGAAGACAGTTATAGCTCTCATATTACACCCACCTTTTGAATGTAGCTTATGAAATATGAAAGTTATGAAGAATATGACAAAGCGCGTTTTGGAACCACCGGTGGTCTCAAGGAGTTGAAGAGGTTAAATGATCAGGTCAACATGCTGACCATTTAATTATGCGGTTATTTTGAAAAATCTGTGCAGTTTTCCTTTGAGCCAAAGGTCATTCCTATTGGACAGTCCTTACCTTTAGAGCATTTCTTATGCCCTATAACACCTGCTTCAGCTCCAGAAGGACTCATTAGCTATTAATGGGGCTCAGGTGCAAGAAAATACTAATGTGTGAGTAGCAGGTGGAGGAGGGGAGTGCAGAAAGGTTTCTTTCTATTCGAACATGAAATTCACTACTTCATACTCGAATTTTCCCGTTCCACCTTAAATGGCGCAGCAGTTACACTCTGTCGCCCAAGCGTTATGATAATAGCTGCTGCACCATTTAAGGTGGAACGGGATAATTCGAAGAAGAACCTGGCGAATTAGAAACTGACTTCAGCTTCGAGAATTCACTACCCAACAGCAAGAAGCATATAATCAAAGAGATTTGCTGAGCCTAATTTAAACTGAACTCCATAAACAGAAGTGTAGAAAGAGCAGCAGCATCTGACAGCGGTGACATTGTGCTGCTAACAGCAACCTGATAACCGCACAATGCCAGTCTGTTCGTTATCATGCTGCTGCATGCCGAAAGCTGCAGGCAGAAATAACTCTAAATCACACAAACGAAGGATTTTGACTCACTGAAACATTTAGTTCTTGTAGAAATAGCAAGGCCAGTGAAGGAGGCCGTTTTTACACTAGCTAAGAGGCTAGAAATGCAGCTGCCTCTCCTATGTAATCGCTGGCGGAGCTGCTAGCTAAAAGGCTAACAGCGCTAACAGGCTGCTGTTCGCTGCAGGTCGCCGCTAAACAGTCATTCATTTTAATGGTGCTAGTAAGAAAGCAACTTATACACCTTATACATACTTACACATCTCTGAACGTATTTTACTCGAAGTGTAATTTGAAAAATTATACAGAAATAAACATCGTTCACTCACAACATCCTCCTCTCTCTCTCCTCCGACTCTGCTCAGCACTACTTTCGTGTGTGGGGAGGGGAGGGAGGGGAAGGAGCCACTGAGATCGGAGGCTTCTCTCATTGGTCGGAACATTATCAATCCAGGAAGTATGTCACCAATTAGATCAGGACAACTGTATTTATTTGTTTGTTTGTTTGTTTTCTTTACTTATTTATTTTTGTTTATTTTGCTGCTGTTAGTTAATATGCCTAATTACTTACTATAGTGATGAATATTATAATTGTTATGAATAACTGTATCAATTAAAAACAGTTGCTTGCCTTGAGTATGCAATATGTTTCCTTATTATTTCTGACAAATATCATATTTATTAGCAACTCTTAAGCTGAACTTAAGCTGAGCTGTTTTCTTTTGGAATTAATTCAAACATTTAATTTATTAAAAACAGTTAAAACACACACAAAAAAAGCTATTTATTGTTAAAAATAAAAATACATATTTTTAAATATATTTCCTGATATTTTCCATATATGAGCTAATCTCTTTTTGTACTAACAATATTTATTATGTGTCTTATCTTTGTAATAATTTTTTACCTCTAAAATCTGAATATTGTTGCTACAGTTCCTGTGTTTGTATTTTCTTATTGATGAAAAAAAAAATCACAAAAAAAATGTGTCCATGTTTTTCACCACAGTCTTGGGTAATTTCTCTCAGTTTGGTAAGTTGTAATAGTTATTACTGTAATTGATTATTAAATAATTAAAGATCATTGCTGTTAGACTAGAGTACGAGCTTTCATTGGACATGTCCCATTTAGCACACTTGTGTTTCTGCAGTCCTCATTTGCTTGCACCTGTGAGGACCTCAAGGCCTCTGTTTTGGGCACTTCAAATGGCCATTCACAAGTGTCCTCTGCACAGTCAGGACGGCCTTTTGTGAGGACTGCATTGATGTGCACTCAGCAGTGGCTTCATGCCTAAAATTCCTTGAGCTACAGGATTAGACCAATCAGAGTGTCTGGCTTTGTTTACAGCTGTTTGACAACAATACAGAAAAGAAGATATAAGGGTTTGAGCTAAAGTGTGTTTGTTTGTTTTTTTTTATTTGCCTGTCACTGAGCTGCATTGTGCTCATACTCTGTAAAGAAAAGCAAATTGGCATTTTTAAAATATTTGCTCGAATGACAATATGATTTCACTAAATATAGTACATGCATAGCCTGTGTGATGCAAAGGTCTGTCGCAAATGCATGCTTTTGAACCTTTTGAACCCCAAAGTCCCTTGCCCTACACGTCTTCATGCAGGGCTGAAGGATTTGGACGCCTTTTGGGATACATCTATTCTTGTATTTCTGAAATAGGCTATATTTCAAATTGAACTTTAGATTGGTAATTTATATATTCAATTTTTGCTGCCATTAATTTTGTTTATCTGAACTTTCTTCATGTTGTTATGTGTTTCTTTTACTGTTTAAATTCTCATATTAATGAAACATTTTGCAATATGTCAAAAACATTATTTCTTAGTTAATATTTTTTGTGTGGGATTTATATGTAATCTGTCATGTCTTGATGCCAAACTTATTTTGCACCATACCAAAGTAAAGTTAGGCCAAGTAGAACACCAGGTTGTTATCTAGGAATGGGATTAAACTTAGTCCTGGACTACACAAAATTTTGAATGAAGATTCTTTATCAGACAAAGAACAACCATGAACCTGAAAATGGACTTAGCCTTAATCTGGGACTAGGAAACTGACCCTAAAGCTTCTGTTCAGTTCCATTGCTTTTTATTTTATTTTTAAAATTGAATCTACTTTTAAATTTGTGTTTTATTTTGCTGTTGTCAGCTGTGACGTATATCAGCTTGAGCCAGCTGGAAGTTCTGGAAAATAATGAGGCACGTTAGACCGGATGAGCTGGCTTGGCAGATATAGTACTGCCCAGTTGTGAGTCTTGAGGTCCTTTAAAACACCACTGGCAGGTCCCACTGGAAATCTATCGTGGTCACGTAAGAACACTGGGAGGAAAGAAACCACACGCTCAGGGCTGCAAAATTTTACCAAAAACTGTGGGAGTGAGTTGTCTCCAGTCTATGGGCACTAAAGTATCAACTTCAAGCTCTAAAGCCAAACTGGAAGCGCTTCTAAATGGGGGAGTGATTTCAAAGTAGATTCATCCAATGAAAGAGTAGTGAGAGGGGATGGAGTGCTGCCATCTGCTGGCTTAAAGATCTGTGAAGCAAAACCTGAGCTAAAAACTAACTAATGTACTGGGAATAATTACTTAGAAAGAGTTTGTAAACTGAATTCAGTCCATTGTATCTTCTTTTTTTTATTGGTTGCGTGTTTGTTATTATAAGCCATTATGTATTGTCCTATTTTCACTAATTTCTTTCCGAATTTTTATGCAATTTATGACGCAACAGGAGGTGATGCCTCACCGTTTTCTAGGTTTATCTGGCACAACAGATGAACTGCTTTGTATATTAACCTAGATAACCACAGAAGTCACACTGGGTAGGGGGGATTTAGTAGTTCACTTAAGTGCTCAGGCAAGCCTGCCAGATAGTCGTGTCGTTTCAGTGCAAGAGCCTTGGGGCAAAGCTTTACAGATTCACCTCATCCTCACCGGTCTCTCGGTGAGACCTTAAGACGTCAGTGGATCCTATAACACCCTATAGACAGTGACTATCCACAAACAAGACACAAGTGACTACTGGCTCGGCCTTAAAGACAGCTTTTACAACTCAGACCAAAGGATTCTACACTCTAAATAAACCTCCTAAGCTGCAAGAAGTTGTTTTCCCACTCGCAGTGATTGCCTTTTACCTTTTCTCAGCTTCAGAGCCAGACGACCTTATAGACACTCTCTAGGCCAGTTTTCAGGACACAGATAGAACCCCAGTGTGGGATTAAATCACCATTTTCTTTATTCTCAGGGCAGTGCTAGTTTACAGTATGTATTATGACTCAGTACACATTCAAACCACCATTACTGTCAGGGCACCTGCATTATCTCAATTTAAAACATCACATGACCTCAGATGCCAGATGGTGCACATACATCCTTCCAAGGCACTGAAAAGATGTGTAGTTGTCAAGAAGTCATTACTGGGAAAATTTGCAAATCAAACAAAGAAGCTGCTGGTGTTCTCAGACAAATGGACTGACAACTCCAGTGTTTTGAATGTTGATATGCTGGTCAACAGCAATAGAAACTGATATGCTAATCACCACCAAAACCAGCATACGTTGTGTTTTGGATGCTGGTATGCTGGTCAACCAGCATGACCATGTTCAACCAGTATAGAGTTGCTTTATCCAGAAGACTTGCATATGTAACGTGATATGATTCTCTTTATCTATATATCTGGCTTTTATCTATCTACCTATCTATGGTTGTTTACTAAGTACTGATCAGTCATAACATTAAAAGTACCTCCTTGTTTCTACACTCATTGTCAGCTCCACTTACCATATAGTAGCACCATGTAGTTCTACAGTTACAGACTGTAGTCCATCTGTTTCTCTGCATTCTTTGTTAGCCCCCTTTCACCCTGTTCTTCAATGGTCAGGACCCCCATAGGACGTGTTAGCGTATGTTGCGCTGGTACAAGTGGATCAGACACAGCAGTGCTCTTAAACACTGTGTCCACTCACTGTCCACTCTATTAGACACACCTACCTTGTTGGTTCACCTCATAGATGTAAAGCCAGAGACAGTAGCTCATCTGTTGCTGCACAGTTTGTGTGGGTCATCCTCTGGTCCTTCAGCAGTGGTCGCTGCCCACAGGGCGCTGTTGGCTGGATAGTTTTTGGATAGTGGACTATACTTAGTCCAGCAGTGACACTGAGTTGTTTGAAAACTCCTGCTGCTGTGTCTGATCCACTCTGTTGCAGCTGAGGTGCTCTAATTTTGGCATTTTTGTATGAATAACCTGTTTTATCACGTGTACGTACACTCTTTCCTCTCTTTTATTTACATTTCTGTATATTAGTATATGTTTTTGTTTACTGTTTTCTTTAGTTTTTCTTCTCCTTTCTTTATTTAAAATTAGTTGATATATGCTTACATCAGAACTTATAACAGTGTGATGGCCACTGTCTATTATTCTTACTGTGTGCAAAGATTTCACGTAAAAAATGTTGCAAGTGAGTTGCAAGACACTTTGCATTATGAAACTCAAATGAAATTTGATTTCATGCAAGTTTCAAGTAACATGAAACATGAGTTTCACCATGTAAAGCCAGCCTTACTGAATCCTTTATTAAAGTAATAGCTAGAATCAAAACTTACCATCATGCTACTCAAATTAATTAGACAGTACTTTGGAGGCTGTACACCACACTTACCTGGTCAACACCTAAAACTTAAGACATTAGAAAAGGAAGCGTTACCCAAGTGTGTCAGTGTGAATTGCTGGGTGGGAGAGCACTGAATGGTGGATTTAGGTAACGCAGGGCTGGGGTCAGAATGCTAGTGGCTGATGTACTGGTGTGTCAGCATGGCTCAGCCTTTGTGTGACCAGTGATTCGCTTGCTTTGCCAGCGCTTTTGTGTGCTGGGGAGGTGTGTCACTATGTAGCACATTCCACATTGTGTTTAAACGTAGACTATGCGAAAGGCAGTCAGAACCGCATGACTCATTAAAGTATTTTCAGAAACAGACCATCAACAACAAGACGGTCATACCGACCATAGTATTTTGGTGAGCGGGTTTGATGTTGGACGTGTTTTGCCATGTGTTTAGGTGATTTTACTCATAAAGAATCCTTCACCTGTGTTTAACAGCAGTTAGGCTGCTCACACAAGCCAATAAAGCAGTCTGCATATGGACAGCAGGCTACAGACTTAAGACAATAATAAGATTAACTTTTTTCTCTTTCTCTGTTTTTCTTTTTTCTCTCTCCCTGCAAACTCACACCCACATATTGTGCAAAAGCGAGCCCTCATTTATTTAATTTCCATTGAAATTGACTGTAAAGTACAAGTTATTCATTTAAAGATGTTTAAAAGAGGATTACATATAAGATTCACTTACACAAGAAGGGGGACAGTCAAAGGAAGTGCAAACGGGAGTTTCTGAAACTGGAGTTCAAAAAATGATTAAAAGATGCAGAGAAAATGAAACGCCTACCACCCATGCAAGACCTGGTAGACCACCAAAACCGCCCCGTCAGATAAACAGTACTTTTGTCTTTGAGAGAGAGGAGAAATTCAAGCTCCACTCTTGCTTCAGATCTGAAAAAATCCACAGGTGTTTCTGTCCATCCAAGACAACTCGAAACTACGTGTCTAAAAGTGCTCTCAGAACAATGGACTGACCATCCCAGAGTCCAGACTTTAACATCACTGAATGTGTTTGTGATTTTTTTGTATTGCAAGAAGCAGAAAATGCAACCAACTTCTAAGACTGAACTTTGAAGCTGTGGAAAAATATCCCTGCAGATTTCTCTGAAAAACTGAAAGCAAGTCTTCTGAAAAGAACGGAAGCTCTAATAAAGGTGAAGAATGGACACACTAAATGCTGAAAAATGAGATTTCTGTGTAATTTCCTGTAAAATATGTTTCCTGCTATTTTGCTGATGCTGAAAATTCAATAACTTTCACTTGGTGGCTGTTTTAACTATACAGTTAAATAATGAATTAAGGGTGGTTTCTGACTTTTGCACAGCACTGCATGTACACAGACAGTCCCCTGACTCACTGTATATATACACACACGCACACGCACAGTCTGGCACTCTATAAAGCTCACATACTCCACCCACCCTGCCAGGAAGGGTGTGAGCTATCAGCCTGGTTTGACATTCTCAAGCAAAAGGAACTCCCTCACTCTCTCTTTTTCATTTCTCTCTCGTTACTGCCTTAGACAGCACACGGCTAAAATCATGGATCTGTACCTCGTCCTGCTGTTAGGTTTTCTCTCAGCGGTCAAGTTGAGCCAAGCGCAACCGCCAGTGGAGGAGGAACCTGTTGTAGCAAGTAAGTAGATTTTATTATAAATTCATTATTATTATGATTTAAGCTGTTCAGGCAGCATTTGAAACTTTACATTTGAGCTGTTTTGTGATTAGGCTAACATGTATATCAACACATGTACAAAACTATGCCAAAAGCAGTGACCACGTTTTTTTATTTCTTTGATTTTTAGTTAAAAATTGTTAACATTAGAAAAAAGAAGACATGTTTTTAACAGAAAAGGAGAAGACTACCTCAAGTACTAAGCTTAACATGAAAATTTTCAGTGTCCACTCTTTATTACAGCGGTCATTCTTTTCAGGGGTCTTGCTTTCAGTTTTTCAAAGAAATGTGGAGGGATATTTTTCCACACCTCCAAAGTTGCATTTTCTGCTTCTCGCAATCCAAATAAACCTGTAAACATCCAATGATGTTGAGGCCTGGACTCTGGGGTGGTCAGTCCATTGTTTAGAGAACACCAGCAGTTTCTTTCTTTGATTTTCTCTTTTTTGGACAGAAACTGAACAGTATCTCTGGGTGTTTTTAGACCTACAGCAAGAGTGAAGCTTGCGTTTCAATGCTAAAAGCTCAATTTTCCCTTTTTTTCTATATTTTTTATCATATGTTCTTTTTCATTTCTTTTACTTTGACTATTCCCTTTCCTTACACAAGTGAATTATCTAATATGTTATCTCCACAGTAATATCTCCAGAAAAAACGGATTACTTATTTATACTAAATGACCATTTTGACGGAAATGGAATAAATGATGGACGATCTCTGACTTCTGCACAGCAGTTTATAATAATTATGTGCCAGCATTAGAACGCATATCTCTTGTGTGATGTCACATTTTCTTTTAAAAACCTAAACCTATTTTAAGAAATATAATTCTCTATTTGTGTTTCAAGTATGACCTAACATGTTGGACTTAACTGAGCACAATGATATGTTAACAATAACAAACTATGGAGCCTGTAGTTGCTCAAACATGTGGCATGTTTCTTTCCTCTTACACAATGTCCATGATGGTGCAGCTCTGGTGTCAAGAGAGATAAAACACGTGAATCATTAGAGTCCTTAGGGTCCTGTTTTAGATTAGCGGCGCTCATTGACGTGCAATATCATTAAAAAAAGCCAGATTTTACTAAACTCTGTCCTGTCTATCCTGTTCTCCTTTTTAAGGAAATGTGGAGCCTCTGGGAGGCTGGATCGAAGCCCAACCTGAAAGATCAGATGTCCAAGAAGCTGCTAGAAAAGGTGTGGAGAAATTTAACATGAAATCCAAGGCCAAGAAGTACTTCAAGCTTCTGGACATCACATCCGCAAAAATACAGGTACACTATTGTTTTCTCTGACCAGTGCCAACAATTTACTCTCATAGTGACTAAAGACAAACACAACGTCATGCTCAGTCTAGTATTAATAGCTAATAGTCTGTGAGCTGTACTCTGTCCACAACCAGTCTGTTTGTGCTGGCAGGTCACCAACATGATAAACTTCAAGATTGAAGCGACTGTTGCAAAAACAAAGTGTCTAAAAACAAAGCCGGCAGATTTGGAAACCTGCGCTTTGGGCCGAAAGGTATTATTCTTATTAACTTTTCTGCTTTGATTAAATGTTCTATCATTATTTTCTATTCAAAACAGTCATTGACAAACCATTCACGGCCTTTATACTGTTTGACCATCACCATCTTTTCAAACCTCTGCCTTTTATTTTCTTTAGCGGCTGACGTGCAATTTTGTAGTTGAGTACAACCCGAGGAACGATCAGCATGTTGTGAAGATGCTCTCTTGTAAGAAATGATCCTGCTTTTAACGTGGACCTGGGAACAGACTGTACTTACTAATCTACAGTACTGCCCAGAAGTCAGAGACCACTCTTCATTTCTTTAATTTCTAGTCAACTGGCCATTAAGTACAAATTATTCATTTATCAGGAGATATTTCTGAAAAGATTGGATATAAGACAATTCACTTGCATAAGGATGGGGAAAGTCAATGGAAAATAAGCAAAAAACAAGAGTTTAAAAAGTACATAAAAAATGGAATTCCTAACAACCACCTGCAAGACCTGGTAGACCACCAACACTGTCCCAATCAGATAATCAGTACTTAAAGCTTTTATCTGTCTGAAAGAGGAAAACATCAAGCTCAACTCTTGGGTGGGCACATTAAATACTGAATGTTTTGATATGTAGTTGTTGAATCTTGTGTGGCATTTTCTGTTAAATACACACACACACACACACACACACACACCACACATATATATATATATAAATATATATATATATATATATATATATATATATATATATATATATATATATATATATATATATATATATATATAAGTACTTTTTGGCCCATTTTTTGACTGGAAATGATATAAATGAAGGGTGGTCTCTGATTTGTACACTTCTTATAAAGCATTTTTTGTCACTGTTGGGGTGGAGAAATCTTCTCTCCCTTAGATGATGTCTAACTGTTGTAGGGAATGACTTGAGGTTTACTGATGTACTAAAACAGAATGGCTCCCTCTGGAAGGGAAGTAATATTTTGATACTGAAATTAGAACATGTAAAATCTACATTTTGTAAGACTTGGAAATGGAAATGAATCTGTGAGTTATGAAAATAAACAGATATGACTTTAGACTCTCTGTCGTTATTGTGATGCAAACTCATCAATAGCATTTATAGCTTTAGTTCAGCTGGAAGTTTCCATGGAGAATTATAGTGATGATAGAACGTCTTTTGGAGAGATTTGGCGCTTGTTTCAAGTAGCAGACAGGGAGTGTGTCTGCCAGACTGCTGTGGTGATACACCAACTGGACCACCATTAGTAATTTACAGCCATGACACTGTTTTTTCCACTCGTCTCCAAGCAACACTTTCTTGATTTCTTTTTCAGGATGGATTCCCACCCGTTTTTCCAAGTTGCTCTTCATTTACAGTGTTTACAGTACAAAAGAGCATTATAGTACAACACAGAGTTCCGGTAGAAATGATCAGAGTTCACACAGAACTTAAAGAAACAAAATTAGATTCAGAGTTTTACAGTATTTAAATTACAATAGCACAGCCACAAAACCATAACAATGCACAATGTACTATTAAATGCTACAGTATAAAACACTCATAGTTTCAGGTCATCAATCTGAGGGTGGAACTGGCTGGACAAAGTACTTCAGTCTCCCAAAATGCTTTCCTTTACACAGTCGTCTCTGTCTTTGACGTCAGCTTTGAGTTCAAGCAGTGTGAGAGGAAAATGTGTTGTTGCCTATACCTGCATAATAAAACATAACAGTTAATTATTGTCTATCATCCTGAGCTTGATGTATGTTCAGAATGGTGTCAGTTACAATTTCAGTCTGGGTATTAACCACTGTTAAAATGCAAGACTTTAGACCTATTGCATCTTTCTTAAGCCATGTGTAATCTAATGTGGGTCTTTGACAGGGGTTAATATTGTGCAACACAGAAACAGTGTTATTAGTTTACTAACTAGACAGGCAAGCAGCGTTTGCTAAAAGGCTGCCTACAGTGGAAAATGCCAAAGGCTGTGTGAAACATGCCACAACTGAGAGAAATATGCCAGTAGAAAGGTTAAAACAAAGAGTGTATGAATCCTCTTTAGTTAAATATGCCAGTGGCTGAGCGAATATTATTAAGTCTGCCCTATGGCTAAGGGAAATGTGGCAAATCTGCTAGTGGCTGGGTGAAATACAGTAGTAAGTTAAGTGAGTTTAACCTGCCCATGGCTGAGCGGAATAACCATTTATAAACTGTGTGTGAGCTTTGAGTGACTTAAAAATTCTGAATTACTCTAAAGAACAGCCACTTAAGCCACACATCAGCTAGGAAAAAGTCTGTGAATGAAAGAGCGGGTAACACCAGCATATCCATATCATCATGGAATGAAGGAACCAGACTGTCAATAAGGCTAATTTGATAATCATATTGGCATGCAATGAGTATTTGCAGCAAATACACAAAGAACGAAACCCTGCCAATATGGCAGAATGATTCCATATTGCAGCAGGACACAATGTCCATTCCTAAGCCTTAAAGAAAATAGAAGGACAGTCATATAGCTCAGTTATCTCGTGGATTACTTTCTCCTCATCCGTTTTTGGCTAGTTTAACCATGTTTTGATGATTGGCAGTGGCAGATTTTACTGCAGTGACTTTAATTGAGGAGGTCAAATATACAGGGCATTTGTAAAAAAATGGAGCTCTGCCACTCGCATATAAGGTAAACAATGTTGTTAATTACAATGGAAGTATTTTGGTTTTGTCATTGACGCACACTTCTTTCACTTGCTGTAGTTTTTCTTTTCAAAGTCTTGTTACTTGTAATGAAGTCATGGCTGCTATGGGCGAATAGGCGGGAATGCCTCTCATTCAATCACCTTGCAAGACTGGAACTGACCATAGTATAATGGATGATTAGTTCTTTAGCTTTGCTATGGAGGTTAAACAAGCTGTGTATTAGCAGTTGAATGCCTGTGTCAGCAATTGGAGCAAAGTAAAAGTAGTTGCTGAATTCACTAATTAGAAGGGTGTTTACATACTTGTGGACATTTATCAAAAAGGTAATAATTACTGACAGTCTAAAGACACTTTGCACCTGTAGGTGTGGCCAATTTAGCAGATTATCTACTAAGCACTATCATGCAAATAAACACAGGCACAAAAAAAAAGCTGCCAGCAAGGAAAAAAAAAAAAGTTTTACTATGTTTCTGATTTAAATTGTGACTGATTAGGTCAAAATAATCATGTATTTTCACAAGATTTGGACTCAGTGCATCAGTGTATGTTATTAGAAGGTATGTGATTATTTCAATATATAAAGTCATTATTTTTAGAAAATAAGATATTTAGACACATTGAAGGAAACTATCCTTCTATTTCAGCTGGTTAAAACTCCTATAAATTTATATGTAAAAAGGCCAAAGCACAAGAAAGCAGTGACCACCCTGGTCTTTAATGGGTGCTAAAATGCTGCTGTACATATACAGTTTATCTCAATAGTCACTGAACAAAACATTTGAAAAATCTCCAGGTGTAAGACTCACTTAGAAATGATACGCTGTATCTCTTGGTTTTCCTGGTCTTGTAGCTTTAGCAGCACTCGCTGCAGAATGGGCAGCTCTAAATTGACGTACTGTGCCACCTGATAAACCATTACAGAGTTAGTTTAAGTTCAGTAACATAGGATGGATATGTAGCATAGAAAGATATTATAGAGCTATACTTACATCCATGCTCACTTCTTCTTCATCTGTGTCCATGAGGAAAATTTTCACAATGCTCTCTGAGGGTCCCTGAAGAAAACGCTCCCACAGCGGAAGATCTGAGCTGCTCAACTTTCTTCTTTCTTTGATCAATTCATATAGGAAAGTCAGGATTTTGAAACAGATATTTGCATTCTGTAGATCATGTAAAATGAGCCAAATTTAGGCAACTTTCAGTACTTAAATACTGGCACCTCAAACCAAAGCCAATGTAGCAATCAAATTTTGGACACTTATACCCCACCAAACAGCACTGTGCAAACTGTAATCCTAAATCATCACGCAGTTGCTTCACTTCCATGTTGAGTTGATAAGTAATTTTACTCACTTACATGGTTTCTGACATTGTAAGAAATACAGCACTGCAAAAAATGGTATCTTGTCAAGTGAAATGATCTTAAATCTAGTCGATATATCTAATGTTTCCCATTTTGAGATGGTTGTGCACTTTTTATGAGATTATCTAGTTTGTTTCTAGATATTTTTCACTTGTTTCAAGTATTTTTTTTTTAATTTATGATCTCAGTATACTAGCAGATAATTTTGCTGGTTTCAAGCACTTTTTTTAAAACAAGCACAATTATCTGCCAGCTTAGTGAGATCATTTTACTCAACAAAATTACCTAAAAGAAGTAAAACATATTTGGAAGTAAGCTGGACAATCTTACATTAAGCTTACAACAATCTCAACAAGAGAAATATTAAATTTATTGACTATAAAATCATTTTACTTGATGAGATACCATTTTTGGAGTGTGTTATCTATAAAATGTAAATCAAAAGGGGGTCTGCCCTATGTTTTTAGGGCCATATGTTCCCTGGGCTATTTATTTGCTCATTGAAATGTCTTCTCCAGGGCCCTATGTTCCCTTATTGAAATTTTCTAGAAAACAGCTGGGCCCACTGGTTTTAGCAGAAGCTTCTGTGTTTGTCAAAACAGCCGTTTGATGATTCATTTAGCATGCAAAAGTGTGTTTGCTTAGTGCTGTTTGAGTTTCAAAATAATGAATACATATGCATTATTTTTTAATGTTTCTTTTATGGTTGTATGTTTATTTATTTCTTTAATGTACATGTTTTCAAAAGTATTCTTCTGAAAATGTAAAAGGTAACTGTATTCTGAATAATGCATTTATAAAATGTCACATGGACTGAAGTTAGCATTCAGTAATCTTTGAGGACATCTTCAAGGAAAACATCTATGCTGGATTTCAGTACTATTCACATTAGCTGTTTTCTCATTGGGAACCTTCTATGCTGTCTTTAAGGGCCATTCCATTACTGTATTTATTCAAATGACCCTTTGAGCATTGATGAATTGAGTCAACATAAACATAAATCATGACTTTCCATTCATTAATATTCCAAAACTATGTCTATGTTCACACTGGGCTTCATGTAGTACTTTACAAGGCCAGCTTGCTAGATAGCAAACATACATAACTAGCAACAACAAAAGCAAAGGGCAGTGAGTGCACCACAATTATACCACACAAAACAAATATCTACAAAGTTTATGTAAACAGTGCTGACTTCTCAGAATAAAAGGTCTGCATTATAAAGTTTGCTTAGCTAGCTAATTAACTAGCTAAGCAAATTATTAGAGGTTAGCCTAGTAGAAGGCAAGTATGTCTGCTTCTTGTTGTTCCCTGTAGGATGTTTGATGAGCTCTTGACCCTAACCATGACCTTAGGAACACTTTCACAGGTTATGACATATGACATAAACACCTGAGGCAATATAGGGCTCTGAGAACATCTGCAGAACATCAGCTGAAATCCTATATCAAGCAAGAACAGGAAAACGTTTCACTTTCAAACCTACAGCAATTGATCTCCTCAGTTCACAAACACTTACAGAGTGTTGTTAAAAGAAGAGGTGATGCAACACAGTGGTAAACATGCCCCCGTTCCAACTTTTATGAAATGTGTTGCTGGCATCTAATTTAAAATGGGCATAT